ATGAGTTCAAAAAGAACGAAACAGCATGCTGTCCGCAGATTGAGTATTTCGCTCCTGCTCTTGTAGCAGTTGAGCACTCTTGCGTGGGGTAGTGCCTTTGCTGTTTGCATTATGCAGAGCTCACTGACTTGTCAGTTTGAGCACTCTGGCAAGGTACGTTCGGGCCTGATTGGAAATTTTTATTTCCATTGCTATCAGGTTCGGCCTCATTTTCTCTGTGCTGCGCTGATGAGTTCAAAAAGAACGAAACAGCATGCTGTCCGCAGATTGAGTATTTCGCTCCTGCTCTTGTAGCAGTTGAGCACTCTTGCGTGGGGTAGTGCCTTTGCTGTTTGCATTATGCAGAGCTCACTGACTTGTCAGTTTGAGCACTCTGGCAAGGTACGTTCGGGCCTGATTGGAAATTTTTATTTCCATTGCTATCAGGTTCGGCCTCATTTTCTCTGTGCTGCGCTGATGAGTTCAAAAAGAACGAAACAGCATGCTGTCCGCAGATTGAGTATGTATGTATGTATGTATGTATGTAGACTACCAGCACTGTAAAGTACCGCCAGAGCGCCCCACCATCTCGTCCTTTCATGGTCGTCTTCTGGACGTGGTTTCCTGTCGGTAGGTCATACTACACGGACCTTGTACACACATTGCACGTTGTGCAGTCAATCCGTACCCAGTTCACCTTCGGGCGGATGCGAGCTCCACATAAAAACATGCCGAGTGTGATCTTGGTACACTAAGGTTCCCACACCGTACACACTTAGCAGCATTCTGCCATACGGTTTTCTTCCCTTGGCTGTAAAATCAAGGTGGCGCGCTCTCGCGAGACGGGGCGCTCTCGCGAGACGGTGCGCTCTCGCTAGACGGGGCGCTCTGGCGGTACTTGACGGTACTAGTACTATAGTCAACTTTGCGTATAACGACACTCGGCGGCGGGGCGTCAGAAAAGTGTCCTTATTGGCCAAGTGTCCTTGTACCCGAAGTCTCATTATATGTATTACAGTTGGATGGGACTTTGCTCTGGGCATGGAAATTCTGTCGTTATACGCGAATTGTCGTTATATCCGCAGTTGTTATTAGCCAAGTTGAGTGTAGTGCATGTGTCGTGACCGCGAGAATCGGACGCACTTACAGCACTACAGCCGTCGGCAACTAAATCCGTCCAATGCCATGCTAGCTACCGGTAGCTGTACGGTGATGCATGGGCCGCATGCACTGCCACTGCTAGCACCGGTACTAGCCTACAAATCAGTGCACGGCACATGCCCTGCTGCCGGCTGCCGCCGGGCCTGCATACACTCACTCAGTACACGAAGACTAGAACCGAGAACCACTGGAGCATGCACTGTTCTATACCTGATTCACCAGCAGCGGGAACAGCAGCACCAGCAGAGCCACACCAAGTCATGGTGGTCACACGTGGTGATGATGATCCGAGTGAGCTTACAGCACATGGGCAGAGTCCCCAATGTGTGCCTGGGGTACACAATGATCATGTGTAGTTGTAAACTTACGACTTCAAGGAGAACCCCGGTGCCGTGCGAGTCGTACAGACTCAGGCCTATGCGCGTCTGCTGCAGCCAGACTGTAATGCAGAGGTGGAGAGATGTGCACACACGTACACACGTACACACACACACACACACAGAGTATCCTGTTCAGCCGTTCAACACTGGAGGTGAGTGTGGCCTAGGTCAGTGCGTGCCAACACATATGTTCATACGTACAAACATTGTCCTTCAATAGACACCGTGCAACATCAATACAGAACATCACAAAACAACATGCAAGTTTACTAGTTTAGGCTATATTCATTCAGGATATTGTTTATGCGCGCACAAATCTGCCTTGAAAGGAGTTCAAAACTTGTCCAACTTTTCCAACGTTCACGAACGCTTGCATCACAGTGCTCTCAAACTAATAAGATGAAATAGAAAAGGACCTATAAGCTACTAGTTATGACTGACAGTCCACCAAGGTGACAAGATAATATACAGTCAAATAGGTCCTTTTCTCTTTACATTATTACTATTGGCTCAACACCAGAGTTTTTAATAACATGAAACTCAAACCTCCTTACCTTTTCTCATTATGTAGGCATACAGGCGACTGATGGGTAACCTGGGAGAGAGATAGATAGAGAGAGAGAGAGAGACGAGGAGGTACGAGAAAGACATTGATACACAAAGAGACAGACAGACAGACAGACAGACAGACAGACAGACAGACAGACAGACAGACAGACAGACAGACAGACAGACAGACAGACAGCAGACAGACAGACACACAGAAATGAAGATAGACGGAGAGACAGATATGCACATCAGTGGCTGATCCATTGCTGGCCTGAAGAGGGAGCCCGTCTTTTTTTAAAGATATACAGTCGACTCCACTTATAACAGACTCGCACATACATGTAGCGAATTACGTGATATAGCGAACCAGTGTCCATGTCCCTGTTTGAACCCGCACAAAGCTGACCCTTTATAGCGAACAGTTTCGGTTGTAACAAACCAAATCTTGTAGGGCCGCATGTAAACCAAGTGCACTCATACAGTCATGGTCCACTTTCCAGTCATGACGTGCTGCTTGTATGGTGTGAGTGCATTTCTGTTATAAGGAACTTCGGCTATAAAGAACTAATTCTCCTGCACAATGGTGTTTGTTATATCAGGAGTCAAAGGCTGCACGTACGGTAAGCTCCACAGTGTCAAAACTTCTCAAAAGGTTGAAAGTGCAGAAGTGCCAGGCGCTTGGTAGTCCGAAAGGGCGACAGGGAGCATGTGCCCCCTCCCCCTCCCCCCCCCCCCCCCCTCCACCCAACCCACTTCTCAAAAGGTTGAAAGTGCAGAAGTGCCAGGCACTTAGTCCGTGAGGGCGGCAGTGAATGCTTGTGCCTAATGGCCTAGGCATCGCAGTTCACGGTACGTGCTGTGAATGCAGAATCCAGGGCCAGTGGGCAAAGTCCACTTGTACGTGTAGGGAAAATAAAACTTGTATGCGTAGCTAGCTTTAGCTAAGCTGTACAGCTGCATGGCTGCATGGCTGTACTCTAGAACAGCTTACCGGCCACGAGGGTCTTGCTGGTAGAGCTTTGCATACACCATGGGTGAAGTGAAGTAAGAGCTGCATGAACCATGAGAGAAAACAATGAGAATGACGATGAGAATGGTGTTAACAACAACTAAAATGTTCACATCAACGGCAATGACAACAGCGGCAACGGCGGCAGCACCAGCAGCAGCAACAATAACAGCAGCATCACCACCACCACCGCCAACAACAAGTGAGAATAAAGAAATCAAACAACACCTCTTATTGGCCACTGGTAATCGTGAGAATAAAGACTTCAAACCAAGACGACGACAGCGGCAATGACGGTGATGGGGGAGGGGAGGGGGGTATGGGGAGAGGCTGGTGCAAAGGTGACCGACCGGAAGGCCCAGCTACAGCCTTACCTGAACTTTTCGCCGGCCTCTTGGCCTACGCGCACAAAGTCGTCAAAATTGATCATCTGCATTGGGGAGAGAGAGAGAGAGAGTCGGAGAGAATTGGAGAGCGAGAGAGAAAGAGAGAGAGAGAGAGAGAGAGAGAGAGAGAGAAATAAACGGACACACGTGTGACCGTTTCACCACTAGGTGAGAGCTGGTCGAGCTGAACAATTTTGGCTATGAACTCTTGGTTATTTGACAACAGAGCAAGCTTCACTGACCCACGCCCCACGTGCAGTTCACACACTGACCACCACAGCGGCGGATCAACAGAACAACAACAACTCACCTTCTCTTCATTCTCCTGACTGGAGTATTGCCTCTGTAGAAGAGCCCAGACAACCTGGGTAACGGACAACAAACACCAGGGGCGTTGGAAGGTATTTTAGTGTGATACGGTCAGCCATCTGAAGTACTATTTACGCGCGAGAGAGGGGTGGCTGAGCCAAAAATTTAGAAATTCAGAGCTCAAATCAGTGCATTTTATTGATTCACGGGGTACTCGGGGCAAAGAGTGGTACGGTCAATACCGTAGTGACCGTACCGTGTGCGACGCCCCTGAATACCATGACACGAAGGTTTAGTTGTCTGATGATTGCCTATGGGCATGAAACTACTAGCTGCCGCGAATGATCAGATGTGTGGTGCTCTGTGTGGTGTGTAAGAGATAGCTCTATTCAAATGAATATTGAGCACTCTACCTAGCCTGAGGACTCTCAATTGTTTGGCACGAAGTATAACATTGACGAAATCGGCAAAGGCAACAACGATGACGACGACGACGGCAGCGGCGGCGACGACAACAACAACAACAACAACAACAACAACAACGATGTCTTATTGGCGATGGTACCATCGTGAGAATAAAGAATTAAAAAACAACAACAACAACAACAACAACAACAACAACAACAACAACAACAACAACAACAACAACAACAACAACAACAACAACAACAACAATACCAGCAGCAGCACTGGAGGCGGCAGCAATGGCAGCGATAATAGGAATAAGTGAGTGTGGAAACTGTGTCAGTCGCCAGTAAGTAATTCACACATGCGTAGGCATGTTCACGCACCCCCCCCCCCCCCCCCCCCCCACACACACACAGAGTGGGTGTCGACACACCCGCAAGATTTTGAATGCACGTGAATGACCCAAATCCAACTCAACAAGTGGGGAAAGCAGCCATACTCAGTGACTCGGTGACTCAGTGACTCGGTGACTCGGTGACTCAGTGACTGAGTGACTCGGTGACTCAGCGACTCGGTGACTGAGTGACTCGGTGACTGAGTGACTCGGTGACTCAGTGACTGAGTGACTGAGTGACTCGGTGACTCAGTGACTCAGTAACTCAATACAGCGCAGCACTATACACTACACAGTATACTGTAAAGCAGATATTTTCGATGGTGTAATATTTCCGGTATTCTCCAAATTCGGCGGTTCTGTGGAGGGAAATTTTCGGTAAAACCCGTTTTCCAGGTAAGTGTACTAGTAGTACTACATGTATACAGTATTGGTTGTACCGAAATTTTCGGTGCTTTTTATTATCGGTAAAAATTGTCGGCACCGAAGTTACCGAAAATCAAACACCACCGAAAAGTTCTGCTTTGAAAGTATACACTCACATCAAGGTCGCTGTTCGTCAACATCTCCTTGCTGAGGCGCTGCACATGACGTGCTCTGAAAACAAACAGAAAAAACAAGAGCGTGCACAAACACACACACACGCGCGCACACAAACACACACAAACACACAACACAAACACACACAAACACACAACACATACACACACCCACACATGCACACACACACACGTCCAATGACCACACATACACACACACATACACACACACACGCAGGCGCGCACGCACCCAAAAACCGAGCATGCGTGGTTGAACACTAGCGTGCAGAAATGCAAAACAGAGTACATATTTTACATCAGAGTGCACATTGTATAACATTTTCTCACGAGACGAGCAAAGCATGACATCATCATAAAAATTATAGCATGCTTACCGTGCTTCCTCTCTCACTCTCATACGGACTGCATCGTTCTCATCCGGACACTGAACAGTGTAGAGCAAACACATACGAGCAGACAAAGAATACTGTAAAAGCAGAAATTTCCGGTGGTGTTTTATTTCGGTAACTTCGGTGCGGACAATTTTTACCTAAAATAAAACGCAACCGAAAATGTCGGTATTAGTACACTTACCTGGAAAACGGGTTAACCTAAAATTTCCCTCCGCCGAAACGCCAATTTTGGAGAATACCCAAAAAATTACACCACCGAAAATGTCTGCTTCTACAGTGTACGTGTGGCCACGCAGGCATAGAACATATTGTCAGGCCTGCCACCTTTCTGGGAGTAAAAGATGCCCTGCCGAGTGTCGTTATACGCAAAGTTGACTATTTATTATTAAATTTTGTAATAGGTTTTTCATTTGACCCGACGAGACCATGCGACGCTTGCAGACAACAGCACGAACAGTTCACCAGCCACACTCCACGAAAGCAAGTAGTATTACTCCTGACAAGTCTTGTTTCGTTCCACAAAGATGACGGGGAACTCATCAGAGGAGAAGCAGTTGTTGAATGATGGAGTTAAGCTGAATAATGTTATTTTATAGAGAAGATACCAGCGCAAGGTGTAAACACTCAACGGAAGGATGTGATCTGCTGCTCGGATTATGGCATTAGAAGCCAACCCTGCAGTCAAGATCTAGATGGATATGTCGCCTCAGCAGCCCAAAGTTCTATGGAAGATGGCAACAAAGAATTATGACTTCTCCTGGACCAGGAAACCTGCCATTGTCAGAGGAAGGATGTGATCTGCTGATCGGATTATAGAGTTAGACGCCAACCCTGCAGTCAAGATCTAGATGGATACGTCGCCTCAGCCGCCCACAGTTCTACAGAAGATGGCAACAAAGAATTATGACTTCTCCTGGACCAGGAAACCTACCATTGTCAGAGGAAGGATGTGATCTGCTGCTCGGATTATAGCGTTAGACGCCAACCCTGCAGTCGAGATCTAGATGGATACGTCGCCTCAGCAGCCCACAGTTCTACGGAAGATGGCAACAAAGAATTATGACTTCTCCTGGACCAGGGAACCTGCCATTGTCAGAGGAAGGATGTGATCTGCTGCTCGGATTATAGCGTTAGACGCCAACCCTGCAGTCAAGATCTAGATGGATACGTCGCCTCAGCAGCCCACAGTTCTATGTCACACCCAGCAGCCTTCCTTTCACCTACCGTTGGCTGAAGCTGAATTTCAATCATCGAGGTTTGTGAAGTATTTGTCTTGTGCAGTTAGCAATCAGGCTTCAGATGTGACGTTAGACGTCCATGATGATTTGTTGGCCTTCACTTGGCGTCTACTTTTCACTTTTCACCTATCTTTGTCACCACCTCAGTACTCTTTGTGACGTGTAAACTAGCGCAACCTATGCCTGTGTACCTCTCCTTCTCATTGTGATCGATTTAGCACTTGTGATAGTTAAGTATGGTACCGTAGGGTTCATAACACCTCCATTCTGCACTATTCCTCTTTGTGTGGATTTGTCACATATGTGAGATAGTTGAGTGCTTACACCTTGCAATGGTATCTTCTCTATAAAATAACATTACAGTGGCGTGTCCAGGATTTGGCTGAGGGGGGGGGGGGGTTGCGGCCGGGATCAAGGCGGGATGGGGTGGGGGTACATGATGACATCATGCTACTGTCCCAGGTCAGCCATTTGGGAAACCGATGTCAAGAAGCTCCTCCTGTAGCCCCCTTCTTCAACAGTTATTCACCCGAACGGCCCCAGAGACTGTTCCGGAGGATCAGCGCACCACACGGGGACAAGTGTCGAACTTGCTTCAAGTTCCCTTTCTTCGTGGGCCTGCGGGATGATCGACCATGATGTTTCGGGGAAGCATTCTCTGGAACGCTCTCCCCTCTGATTTTAGAGTGATACGTGTCCCTGGTCCCTTCCGTGCGCTGTTGACTGTGCGCTGTTCTTCATGTTCTGGCTGCTCGCTGACAACAGGTTCTTCCACGTCTGGCGGAGTGTGACTGTCAGTCCGCTCCGAAAGTTCAACTGGAATAACAGCGACTTCATCACTCCCACTGTTTCCTGTTGGAGCGGCAGCAGGAGTTGCGCCGCGACAGGAACGCTTTACAAAAATTCCAGGCTCTGCTGGCTAGAGCTTGGCCTTTTGGGATGTCCCTGAGACATCGAAGAAAAGCCTTCGAGTCAACCAAAACCCGATTCGAACGAGGATGATCGCCTGAGCCCTTGGCATTCGAATCGTGTTTTGGTTGACTCGATCGAAGACTTTTCTTCGATGTTTGTACCGTTGAAGACGCGTCGAGCGCGTCCCAGCAGGGATCACACTCTACAACACTCAACAGTACACAGTCAGGTCACCACTGGTCACCGTGTTTCTGTAGCCGTGCATATGCTCACTGTACGTAGACTCTACTCTCTACACTGTACAGTACTATACTAGTCTGTAGTCTGTAGTGTACAGTACTATACTAGTCTGTAGTCTGTAGTGTACAGTACTATACTAGTCTGTAGTCTGTAGTGTACAGTACTATACTAGTCTGTAGTCTGTAGTGTACAGTACTATACTAGTCTGTAGTCTGTAGTGTACAGTACTATACTAGTCTGTAGTCTGTAGTGTACAGTACTATACTAGTCTGTAGTCTGTAGTGTACAGTACTATACTAGTCTGTAGTCTGTAGTGTACAGTACTATACTAGTCTGTAGTGTACAGTACTATACTAGTCTGTAGTCTGTAGTGTACAGTACTATACTAGTCTGTAGTCTGTAGTGTACAGTACAATCAACACCAGCTCGAGCACCGTACCGTGCAACCGCTTTTGGACAATCGTTTCAGGTCGCGCGCGCGCGCGCCGAGCCTAGTCTAGCTAGACCGGCCCGGCGCCCTGCGCAGCTGCCTTTTATTTTTCGAAACCTAGGTCGAAATTTTTGAAGGGGGGGGGGGGGGCGCGCCCCCCGCGACCCCCCCCCCCCCCCCCCTAAACCCGCCACTGCATTATTCAGCTTAACTCCATCATTCAACAACTGCTTCTCCTCTGATGAGTTCCCCGTCATCTTTATGGAACGAAACAAGACTTGTCAGGAGTAATACTACTTGCTTTCGTGGAGTGTGGCTGGTGAACCGTTCGTGCTGTTGTCTGCAAGCGTCGCATGGTCTCGTCGGGTCAAATGAAAAACCTATTACTACTATTTGACGGACCTATGGAAGATGGCAACAAAGAATTATTTATTATTTACTCAACATCCGAGTTTCAAAAAGAAAACATGAAAAGAAATGCAAAAGAATCTGCAGAGTTTCACACTGTACCTTTCTGTAGAATCGAGGTATGTGCTGATAAGTGGATGCTGCAGCGGCGGCAGCAGTCGGCGTGTGCCAGTCGGCAATGCACTGCACCGTCATCTGCTCCACGTCCGCCTCCGATGCGGCCGACACTGCGCCCGATGGCCCGGCACCACCAGCAGCACCAGCACTGCTACTGCTACCTGGATCAGAACAAAAGCGAACGCAGAGTCTTTTTTTTTGAACAAGCGACGAGGGGACTATACACTAAAACCTGTCAAGGCGACCACCCCCTGTCCTAGAAGACCACTGCAACAAGGATCAAGGGATGCTATTACCTGTCAAATGACCCTGGATAAGGAGACCACCTGGTAACAGAGACCACATTTTGAAGGTCCATTACGCCGTCGTCTCAGACAGCTGTTTCCCTGTAGTTTTAATAGTGCAATCAACTGGACAAGCTGGACACACATACAATACTAAATACTCTTTATTAAATGATAAGAAGAAAAAGAGGAGCAAAGAGCTACACGTTACGCTATAATATGCAGTAACACCACTGCAGTTACTTTACAATAAGCTTTTGCGATAACATTGCACAACACTGACCGACGGTACTGACGTTCTACACCTAACTGGCAATCAGCTCTAGCACATCTCAGCTCTAGCGCATCTTGTAATGTAACTGGTGGTGTTAGTGGATATTATAGCGTAACTTGTAGCTCTTTGGCCCTCTTTTCTTCTTATAAATGAATCCTTGGCTCTCCACCCGAGCCTAATTTACTAAAACTAGTAACAAAAATTGTGCTAGAAGAAATATGTAGACAGTCAAAAACCCTGGTACTGTAGATATTCAAATTTTCGGCAGCTATTAAATTTCGGCTATATTCGGCACCGACCTAAAACGCCTAAATTAAAACGCCGATGAAATTTTTCACAGCATCTGTCGCACTATACCATGTACCATGCCCTCTACCCCAAGCCGAAAATAAATCGCCGCCGAAAAGTCAAAAATCGTGAAGTGCCGAAAATTTTGCAGCGCCGAAATTTTGTATATTTACAGTATGTCGATCCAGCTTGTACTATTGATTGCGTTTTGAAACTAGAGTCTTTCTCATTTTCTTTTTCACTGTGAACACAGCCCTGCTGGGAAACATGTGGCCAAGAACAACACAAAACAAGACACAGAGGTTGTAGGAAATACGTGACCGACGCACTGAGAGCCACTCAACCAACCAGAGGTCTCGGCGCAATCAGGCATCGGGAGCGTGTACAACGAAGGGAATGGCGGGGTGGCGGGGTGAATCATTGAATGCATTCGATGAATATTTTCGGCGAAGTAAAGACACTTTGACTCATGTCGACTCCCAGGAAATGCAGCGCACGTTGCCGAACCTTATCCAGCTGGGTGCAGACAGAACAACACTGCAGAAGTATCCGGTCATAGTAACGACGAATCACGAGCATGACCGACAAGACTGTTGGGTGACAGCCAGGTGGGTATTCGGCAAGTGACGGGAGTCGTCCACACCACTCGCCAATGCATTGCCGGATCACCAAGATCACTCGCTGCATGGCTAACTGTGCCGCATGTTGCCAATTTCAGTCCGTTCTTTTGTGCAAACTAGTCGTCGCCAAAGAAATCCAACCCTTGAAAGTAGCGCCAAGGCTCATACGGCTCATGCGGCCCTCGGACCAGTTTTGGGAACGTGCATGATGTACTGGTTAATGAAATGGAGACATGGCACTAGTTTTGGCTCGCGGGTTGGCACAAGTTTTGGCTCGCGGGTTGGCACTAGTTTTGGCTCGCGGGTTGGCACTAGTTTTGGCTCGCGGGTTGGCACTAGTTTTGGCTCGCGGGTTGGCACTAGTTTTTGGATTTCTTTGCCCAAGACTGTATGCGCATGGAAACAAAATAATTAAAACAAACAAAACGTAAAAAAAATCCACAAGTAGCTGAATTGCTTCACCGTACCCTTAGCTTCGACGAATTGCTGCAGCCTTTGCTCCCAGGACATCGTTGCCATACTCTGTGTGTGTGTGTGTGTGTGTGTGGCACAAGCTGATTGTAATTTGTAGCCCGCGTGGTATTAGCTACTAGCCACTATTGTAGGCCAATAATTGGTACCTGATGGAGAGGTCCTCGCTCGCGAGCTGGGATCAGCACCACACGCAGGTAATACGTTGTTCAGTCCTGCAGCCGGCTACATTGCTACAGTGCGCTCACGTACGCCTACAAGTAGATGCGCTGCCGTCAGAGACCCCGGAGGAGCAGCGGGTTGTTGGAGAGAAATGACACGGAGAGAGTGGCTCTTGAAAGTTTGGAGTCACAGTTTTGTCCCCAGCAATGCACAAGCTGCTGTTGCCTTACTTCACAACGACCACACTGGCACTGCTTGCGGCGTTGAACGTCTGCAAAAAAACTGTCCAGTCCCAGGCTCCGCACTGGGCCATTGGTTGAATCGTATTGTTTTGATTGACATTGCAGTAAACAATTTTAGCTGGTCACACACAGTGAAACTCGCCTCAGTTCTCAACTAAGTTGTCTTTGCTGCGTATACGCGTAGGCAAGGTTGTTTTGTCACTCAGCAGTCAGAAGACATAAGTAAATAATTAGTTTTGCGATCAAAACTTACAAAAGATTCAAACACACAAAACAAACGCGCGTTCCGCGGGCCAGATCCATAAATTATCGACTCGCGACACGATCGTACGAGTCTGCGCTGCGGCCGAGTGCGTGTGCACCGGTGCATGCATGACATGACAGCGAGACACTTCGTCGCGAGCCATCTCGAGGTGGTCATCGAATGACGCGACTGTGCGATTTCATGGGGGGTTCGGCGCTGAATGCATTCGATGAGTATTTTTGGCGAAGTAAAGGTTTAAAGGGAAACTGAACGCCAAAAATATTAATAAGTATGGCTTATCCGAAGGAGAATTGGGCACTGATTCCGATGAGCTATGTCTCGAGCCGATCAGAGAAGAGGAACCGTGTCAAATTTCATAAATAACACCTTCCATATTTGGAAATTGGGCTTGATGACGTACGTACTGCTTAGCTGTCACCATGCTGTGCATGCTCAGGACAGCAGTGTACATGTAATTGAATGGAAGAAAACAATTACTTTGATGTTTTGCAGCTCTATTTCGTTCCCTAATGGTAAACAAATCTAGAGGTAGGAATCTGTAGAGCAGGAGAGTGACACATGTCTTCCCGAAGGCTGTCCAGGCTGCAGTGGTGATGAAGAAGACACGATCATCACCCCGAGATCGATTGTAGCGAATTGGAAAACTCATGGTGAATTTGCTTCCACTCCAAGGCAATGTCGAGGTATGAAGGGTGCTTGTACTGCCTTCCAAAGTGAAGAGGAGATGAACATGGCTGTGCATAGCTGTTGTTCAATGCCAACTTACCTACTCTTGCTGGTACCGTAGTGCATAATTGCAAATTTCGTGGACGAACAACTCGAGTCACTAGTGGCTAGTGAGCAACATGTAACAGGTGAGATTTTTCAATTTGACAAAAATTGTTTTTGTTTGAGAACTGACAGTGGCAGTCATTTGACTCAGTAGGTGTCTCTCTGCTGCTTCTTTCCCTTCATTGGTAGGGTTGTGCTTGAATAGTACAGGTGCTTGAAGTAAAATAAAATAAATAGAACATGTGGACTATTTAGCTCGTAGCTGTACTGATGAGGCCTTTATGGCCGAAACAGCTTGCTGTCTACAGCATTGGGTATTACGCTCCCCGGCTTTCGCCTTGTTGAGCACTCTCAGTAGGCTGCTCTAGTGCTGCTGCATCGCGCAATGCCCGCTACTTTTTGTAGTTTGAGCACTCTGGCGCTAGAGCGACGAGCTACCTTTTAAATGTCTGTGGTGCCTCCTTTGCACCATGGCTGGTAGCTCGGCCTATTTAGCTCGTAGCTGTACTGATGAGGCCTTTATGGCCGAAACAGCTTGCTGTCTACAGCATTGGGAACATGTGGAACATAAATCTAATCAAGCATCAGTACATGTATTGCGAATTCAACTTCAAAGCACATGAAATCACAATGATCACTAAGTTTATGGAATCAGGAGGATCGCTAGGACACCCTAGAGCCCTGTGTTCAACGAACACAGACACACATGCTATATTGCGCACACACATGTACACATGTGCGTGCACTCCCACCCCATCCCACAGACACATGCATGCAGCGCGCACATCCATACACATGTGCGTGTACCCCCCCCCCCCCCCTACACACACACTCCTACCCAAACACATGTGTGCATGTACCCCCCCCCCCACACACACACGTATGCACAGACGGATACACAAACACACACGCACGAACACACACACACAAGATACGTGTAAGTGTACATGGTCTTCCTGGTGCAGATGCTGGGCCAGCACAATGGAAAATACCTTCATCAAGAAGCTTGATCAAGTGTTGTGATAATGGCATTGCTTGTTTGTTTTTACAAAGACGTGTGGGAAGGATTACAATGCGTTATAATTCATAATTGTTCTTTGCCGGCTTGTACTGTGCAGACCAGAATGCTTCGCTATCAACTCCTGGCTTTCCATCGGCATGGTGTTCAGCTGCAGCGGCATCTGGTCCGGGGAGTTCAAGTTGCTGGATGGCTGCACTGACACAGGATGGGTTTGCATTGGTAATGCGATACGGCAGTCATTCCACATCATGAGCTACATGTTTATGTAATTTATATTGTCGCTCGTCCAGCAACGTCAAGGCTCTGCATGTAAACACAGGAGAACACCATAATAAAAAATACTACTCAGGGGATAATATTATAATTTTGGATTATCAATTTCGTGACATTTATGAGTTCCTGTCTAAACCATGCCGTGATATTGATTGCTATCTGCTCACAAAGTACCTTGTAACAATACTCTGCCTATTGTAACAATACTCTGCCTAATCACTACCCTTCGCCAATTATTAGATTCACACAATATTCACAACGTATGCAACACGATGCTGTCTATTGACACTACTCGTACTCTTCTCCCGTTTTCATCTCCCTCTACCTTATGAATACTCTACATTACTGGTTTCGTTTCTACCCTTTCCATTGCTGCCAGCTCCCAGCCTTTTTCAATGCACAGCACCACCTTGAAATTTTTGTGATTTGATGCTGGTGGGGCTGCTCTCGGATGCGTGCGGTTGCCCGTGCGGTGTCGGAGTGTTGTATGGCTGATTGTATAATGCGCCGTGGGTAGTGGTTCTCAAGGAGGAGTGTGGTGATCTTTTCAATCCCCCGTTGTCGTCCTGCCTCCGTTGTTGCGTTGTTGACTGCCCTGCTGATCTGGTTGTTGGCGACAGCGATTTTTGTTTCCATTGGCAAAGCAGACAAATATGACAAATGTACACCACTATGGGACGACTTGACAAAATAACTCCCAGTCCAACTTGCCACCTGACACCGAGATTGACAGGTCCAAGTAACTGATGGTGTGAGAGTTGGGTGTGTGTGCGTGTGTGGTGTGTGTGTGTGTGTGTGTATGTATGTGTGTGTGTGTGTTGCTAGAAGTGTGTATTTTTCTGCTTTGTACTCACATTAGTAATCCTGCACTATCACTGCACTATATTTTCACTTCATACATATCACACAGAATAATAATCTCGCTTCCTGTGGTATTGCAACATTTTACGCTATACCATCACACTTTGGCCACTAGTACTTGTCACATATATATAAACCCCTGTTCTGTCTACAGTAGACTTATTCCTGATGATGGGCCTTGCCCGAAAATTTGAGCTAACGTATATCAATTGCAGTGTAGCCTAGAGACCGTTAGAGAGAGTGTGTACAAGGTGTGTGTACAGGATGTATGGATTCAAGTATTGGCTACAGTGGAGTCTCCAAACCTTGAGAAAAGTGTTTACTAGTAGAGAGGTAAATACTAAATGGGTCTCAATATCATCGTCACAGGTACTGTGTGGACCACAGCCATCTCTTTCGGATTAGATCCTTACATACGTTGACCTTGAAGGTTTGGAGGCGTCTTGGATGAGGCTCGTGAAGCAGGAGGTCCGCAGGCAGGTTGTTCCAGGGTGTGATGGCGAAGAAGGGGAAGGGGAAGTATGGTTGTGTACTGGCGAGTTGTGTACTTCGAAGTAGCACCTTCAGCCCGTCACTTAGTATCATGAACAGTAGTTGTGTAGTGTAGGTAGTTATCAGGTGCAGGACATCTACATGTTCATGTACTGTATATGTGTGTGATATGACTGTCGTGGAGTGCAGCAAGGTACAGTTGTGATCGTGTGCTAGCGAAGACGCACTGACAGTGGTAATCGTGTGCTAGCGAAGACGCACTGACAGTTGTGATCGTGCTCTAGCGAAGACGCACTGACAGTAGCAGGAGGAGCACAAACATACTAGTATACTCCTCTAAGTCCAAAGCATGGGTGTGACGGTTAATGGCTGCTCTTTGGATGGCTTTGCTCATTAGTGAAATTGCAAGAATTATCACTTGTACATCAACCCAGTGTCCGTGCTGGGTCGGGGGAACAAATACTTCAGTATTTGAAACATGGAACTTAGACCAGCACTCATGTTTGTACATTTGGAAGTAACTGCATCATGAGATTGAACTGAATATCATGAGCCAATCCATCTACATGTTACATATAAGTTGTAAGCAAATGTCCGGTGTATAAAACTATGGAAGATTAAAGGAAAACAGTGATGCGCTGACCATACGTGACAATTTAACACTTTGGCCAAAGATTTGACTGTAGAAACGTACAGTTGCTGATCTGAAAACCGAACACGGCTACCTGTGATATTTGGTGACCTGGTAAGCTGCTAAAAGCTTGCACAGCTCAATAGCGCAAACTACAGTAATGTTAACTGAAATACGGACAAAGGTGCTAAACCAGCGCTCTGGGCCAGTCATGATTGCATCCTTTCACCTGTACATATCTACGTCCAATCGCATTCGTACCACTCCCAAGGCACCAAATATTCACTTTGGATTCGATTTCGCCACGCATAACAGTAGTAGACTTTGAAAATCTCGTTTTTATGAGCAATCAGCAAAACAATCAAAACAATCAAAAGGCAACACGCCCAGCCCAACTATCAAGCGTCAGAGATCGCCAAAGGCGGAGTTGATTAGCGCTGTGGACAGGACCACAGATGTAGAGTGTCAGGTTTTTGACACATAGAAATACCTGTGTGTCAGCGAGAACAGCGTTCAGTTAGTGTATACCAGGATTAAGCGAAGACGTGCAGTTAGAACACGTTCGTTGGCTGCCAATCCCGCGCCAGAACAAAGACTGAGGATTAAGATCAACAACAGTTACCTGGTGTCCCATACCTGACATCAACAGCCGATCTATTCCATTCCGCCAGTACAAGACATGGAGAGGAAGCTGACGCTAATTTACAGTCCTTGTCAGGTTAGTAACCATTACCAGAAAACACGCCAAACTGTAGATTGGGAAATTTGTTTCCCTCCGTGTACACCATTAGGGACACCTTTTCAACTACCTTATTTTTTCGTTCAAATTACGTTCAAGTGTAGAGATTTCCAGACAGATGTTCCGTTCAATGTGATGTTCAGAAGTGTACTGCGTGCATTGACGCATGATCATGTACCCAGTCTAAAGTTAGCAATAAAAAATTGTCCTCTAGAATGCATGGCAACGGTTACTTTGGAGATACTTCACTTGCAGAAGACTTTCGGAAGCAATGATGATGGTTGTGAGAAACTCTCTCCGTCCTATCATCTTAATATTCGCGGGAGGTCTATGAAGAACATCACCCTCAGTCAGCTGTACCAAACATCCATGCTGTATTACCTGCGACGTGTAAATTTAGAAACATGCACATACATGCAGTACACGCTAGAAGGTTCTCAGTTAATGACTGAGGACGCGTATTATCGACAAAATGAATTTGGTATTAAATTAGATTTTTGCTGTCCTCACAAGACAAGATCTTTGGAATTTAATTTACACCAGCGAAATCTATGCCTTATTTTTATTTTAGGAATAGGGAGTTTGGTAGACTTTGCAAATCCAGCACGAAAGTGGAGGTGGAACATGTTTGAAATCAAAATCGATTGCTGTCAAGTCTGCATACCAGTGGTTTTACTTGCCATCAAATACCTTCTCAACACGTTGTCCTATTTTCAAGCATTCCTGCCAGCTGACCGTTTCTTGAGGATAGCATCTCCAGACCACCGGAATTTTGGCTGGAAATCAACGTGGCCTGTTGGAAGATTGTATAATCCAGACATACTGTTCTATAAAAGTGGTGATTCTGTCAGCAAATTATGCATTTGTATCAATACTCATTGGGAATATCTATGGTGTGATCCAATCTACCCGATGGTATCTAGTAGAGGAGCACCAAGTCCATATGAACGTTGCACCACGTGCGAGTCTCACTCGCATATGCTGCCCAAGTCATGAACATTCCAACATCTAGATCAGTGGATGCATTTCATTTTGATCTGATGTTTTCTATTCAGAAAACCAATATTGTGTTAATGTTGTCTTCCACAGATTTCTTGAACAGCTAATCTTAGTTTAATTTAAAATTTTGCTGCACACAAGCATTATCCCAGTTGAGTGTGATTTCTACGTTGACTTCATAACCATCACCGTTAAGTTATTTGGTCGACCTCACTTGCCTGTGTTTGATTTGCTATTCTTCAAAACCTTTTTCGCATTTCAGAATGGTTTCCATGTCTGCTGAGGTTCCCTGGCATTACACCATCCAAACCATGCAGGTTGAACAGGCTGGGAAGGTTTTGGCTGTTTCAGATGCTCTTAGAATACCACCTGTCAGGCACATAGTGACGATGTGCAAAGTGTAACATGAACCTTTCATTTCCTCTGCATCGATGTAAGATGTACATGTATTGCAGGGCTTTAACGACTCATAATTCTAGTCTTCTTGTCAATTGATACTCCCCCTCTCCCGAGAACAGTGCATTAGCTCCAGACAGTGCAGGCATTATCACAGATTGTCACCAGGTCACAATCACTGCAAGAAAGTGTAAGGGAAGTTGCAAACCTTCTGTCGTGGTGAGACCGGCCAGTATCAATCATCCACACCGTTTAGTTTAACAGTTTTATTCAAAACTATGCTGCGTAAATGGCAAGATCTGACACTGAACACTTTGCACTGCGATTGCAGGGTTTTCTTAGCCAACCACAGCGAGCAGAGAAAAAAAATAAGAAGTGGAAAGTAAAAAGAAAAAGAAGGAACTGTAAACAGAAGACTGGACGTATGGATCACGTGACGTATGGATCACGTGACGTATGGATCACGTGTTATGAGTTACTGTACAATACTGTTACAAGATAATACACAGAAAGCGTGGTAACTTAGCACAACACTGACAGGCTACTGAGAAATTCAATTACAGGGAAACCTTGCATGTAGCTCTAACAAATATTCAGTGCCCAAACCAACATACTACCAGCTTGGAAGATTCAATGTTGTGCTAGGAGCTAGGAGGGGTAATTGACCGCAGCTAAAATGTGCACAAACTATGCCCCACGGCAATAACAGAATGTGAGAAGTAGAATAGAGAGCAATGGGAATGTGGGTATTACAGAGTAGTCGTGTTGGTGAATCTGAACGCCGCTTGTACAGCTAAATAGCACTAACTACAGTTGCACTCATTGAAATCCGGCAAGAAGTACAAACCTACCGCTCTAGACCAGTTGCAAAGCATCACTTCATTTGAACATGTACATCTGTACCTGCAGCCGCATTCCTATCACTCATAGGCCGCCAATTATGCTTGTACAAAGCCTCTTGCACGGGCGAACAAAACACATTTTGCCATTTTCCTATCACTCACAGGCCACCAAAAAAGTACTTTGGCTTCGATTGGGTTTCGGCCAGCACTGGTGTAGTAAGTATGTATGTATGTAAACTTTGTATTAAAATCATGTTGTTAGGAGCATGATCTATATTATAATAAAAAAGACACCCCCAACGCAATGATCAGGCGTCAAATATCGCCACAGGCTGAGTCGATTAGCGCTATTGACAGAACCACAGCTGTAAACTGTCAGGTTTCCCACACATAGAAATACTTTTGTGTCAGGGAGCACAGCGCTCAGTTTGTGTTAACCAGGATCAAGCGAAGACGTGCAGTTAGGACACGATAATTGGCTGCTATTCCTGTGATAGAATAAAGGCCGAGGTGTAGCATCACCAACGGCAATCTAGTGTCGTTACCTGACGTCCAGCCGATCTGTTTCATTCCGTCAACAGCAGACATGGTGAAGAAGATAGAGCTAATCTACAGTCCTTGTCAGGTCAGTAAACATTTCAAGAAAACCGATCAAACGGTAGATTGGGAAATTTGTGTACCCAGTGATTGTGAACCATTTGAGCTTTTCGTTGAAGTGACGTTCAAGTGTCGAGATTTCCAGACCGATGTTCTGTTTAATGAGACGTTCAGGAGTGTACTACGTGCATTGAACCATGATAATGTATCCCGTTCAAGACTGGACGTAACGATAGCAATGAAACATTGTCCGGTGGAATGCATGGAAGCGGTTACCATGGAGATGTTACATTGGATGACTACATTCCGACACAGTGATAATCGTTCTGAGAGATTATCTAGGTCTTTTCATCTTAACGCTCCCGGAGGGTCGATGAAGAAACTCAACCCCAGTCAGCTGTACCAAACATCCATAGTCAAGTGCCTGCGACGTGCACATTTAGGAATTTTACCTCACATTAGACGCATGCAATACAGGCTGGAAGGTTTTCAGCTAATAAGTGAGACCGTATTTTTTAACTTGACTGGTGGTGTCTGGTCTGGTCTGGTTAACTTAGATTTTTGCTGTCATTACAAGACAAGTGCTTTGGATTTAAGTTTACTGCAGCGGAACATATGCCTCGTTTTCTTCCTAGGGATAGCGAGTTTTAGAGAATTTATGCGCCCATTACCAAAGTCGAACAGGTTTCTCGCGTTTCAAATTAAAATCGACTTCTCAGATTCCTTCCCAACACGTTGTCCCATTTTCACGTTTTCTTGCCAATCGACCATGCATTCAGTTTACGTTCTGTCTATAGTCTATACCACACTGATTATGATGTTAACTGGTATTCAACGTGGCCTGTTGGATGCTTGTATATTCCAGACAATCCCTTCTATAACATAGATGATCCTCGCCCCACGTTACGCATTAATGGCTATGCTAATTCTAACCCTCCACAGTATGATCCAAGCTATCCGACGGAGTCTACTTCTAGAGAACTCAGTGCATACTATGGCCGGTATACCAGGTTGGAGTCTCACTCACATCTGCTGCCCAAATCATGATCATGACAACAATTGCATCAATGCATGTATATCACTGTCATCATTCTGTCCTTTACTATTCAGAAAATGCATATTGTGTTCATATCGTATTTCACAGGTTTCTTTTTTTGTTAATTTGTTAAAGATTGCTATCACCTCCACCATGGTTGATTTTAGTATAATTAAGACAATTCTTGTACAAAAGTATTATGACGGTAGTGTTTGATTTCTTGGTTGATTTCACCACTACCACCGTTACTCTCTTCGGCTGACCACACTTGCTTGGGCTGGATTTGCTAGTGTTTTCTAAACGTTTTCACATTTCAGAATGTTTTCCAGTTTCTGCTGCAGTTCCTTGGCATTACCCAATCCAAATCATGCTGGTTGAACTGGCTGCGAATGTTGTGACGGCTTCAGCTTGTCTTAAGCGACCACCAGTCAGACATACGGTGACGTTGTCCAAAGAGTAGCATGAACGTTTCCATGTTCTCGGCATCGATGTAAAATGCAGTTGTACTGCAGGGTTGAACGACTCGTGCTTGTAGCCTTTTGTAAATTGATCCGGTTTAGAAGCGATATTGCCCCCCCCCCCTCACCCCCACCCCTCCCGTCACTCTAGCTACACATATTAACTGTGAAACTAGAAGAATGATGACCTGTAGCAACCCTGTCTGTGATGATTGGTGCAGTTTCACTATTGAGCACTATCATACAAAGAGCAGCCATTAACCATCACACCCACACCCACACCCATGCCTTGGACTTGGAGTATACTAATAGGTTTGCACTCCTCCAGCTACTGTCCATACGTCACAAACAATGAGGCATGTCCATGAGACCCAGTGTCGGGGTTGGCTCGGGTGAAGAAAATATTTGAAACATGAACGTTGGACCTACACTCATGTTTGTAACTGAGATTTGTGAATTTGACTGCTGGAATGGTCAGTTGGTATCCATGAAACCGAAGACGGGTACCATAGAGACATTTTGTACCCTATTTAGCTGCTAACCGCTTGCATATCTCTACAGCGCTAACGACAGTTGACTAAAATCCGGCCGAAGGAGGAAAACTAGTGCCCTGGAATAGTTACGAGTGCATAACCTTACTCGTCCGTCCGCACTCCTATCACTCCCAGGGCCTCAAATATGCAGTTTGGATGGGATTGTGCTCACGACGTCTGTAGTGGCCTTTGGACATGTCAGCAAAACAAACCAAGAGGAGAACACCCTTGCCCAATGATAAGGCGTCAGAAACCGACAGAGGTGTAGTAGCTTAGCCCTTTGGTCCAAAGATCCGGTGTACAAGCCAGACAGCCCCCCCCCCCCCCCACAACCCGCCGACAACAGGACATCAGCTGGACACTTAACTTGTAGCTGCCCACACCAACAGCCTTCCAGCTTGGAATGTTCAATGTTGTGCTAGGACCTATGAGGGCAAGGGGAGCGCAGCTGAAATGTGCACAAGCTATATCCCACAGCAACAAATATTGTGAAAAGAACTATAAAGAACAATGAGATTATGGTTACTACAGAATAGTGGTGTTGGTGCGTCTGGACGAACTATACCTACCAGTGGTGCTAGCATCAGCACGAAAAAAGGGAATGCGTCGGAAGAGGGAAAACAAACCAAAATAAAAGAAGGTGATCCCAGCATCTATGATATCATGTCCGTACAAGGCTACACGAGACTTCAAGTACTACATGGTTACCTGTACAGTAGGTATAGGAAAGTAAAACTAAGTCTGTTACAGTGCGTGTTTTTGTCATGCAGTGGTCACTGTACACGTCTTGCATGTCGCAAACCTATTTTCCTGGTTGTACCAGCCACTGACCACCGTGTAACCCGGACAGTGAGGCGCATGACATTTCGTGTCCTGATATTTCTAGGTAGTCATTACATCGAGTGACATTTCTATGGACAAGACGGGAAAACTCTGAGTGGGGACAGTCATTGCGAATACCCGGGTATTATGAACTGTTGTTGTGGTTTGGTATCCCAACGGTTCACCAAAAGCGCGTTCACAGAACAATCATTCACAGAACAACGGTTCACCGAAACACATTTCACAGAGTGTAAGATTTAGCGACTGTTCATATCGCCGAAAATCAGGTTCCCATAAAACAGGTTCATCGACAGCATGTTCACCGAATTTCTGTTCACAGAATAGGTATTGGATTGAGTTTTTCTTTCTTCAGAATCTTGACGTTTTGTTCATTTTTTTGGTATTGAGATTTTCTGTTATAATAATTATGTAAGCACATTTGCTTTGCCCGTACAAGAGGCTTGTCCATAGGTAATGGCTGCTCTTTGAATGTCATGGCTCATTAGTGAAACTACAAGAATGAGCACACTGTAGAGTAGACGGTTCGATACCGGGACGCTTTGACAGCCAAATTTGTATAGACCCAAACCGATCATCAGCGTTGATTTTTCACTCGAAATATGTTTGTGGAAGGAAACTGGCGTGTTGAAGTTTGCTCTGGGGCCAAAGTCAATCGAAATGAGCCACTCCTTTGTGTTGACCCATTGCCTCCAAGTTGCCCAATTTTTCGCTTCAAAAACGTTCAAATCAGAGGTGGCTCCAAACCGGACACGTTTTAGAGTGCACGTCAAATTCACTCTGGGTCTGAAATTAGGTAATTGCTATCGCTCCACGACGGCCAGTACAGAGTAACAATAAGCCTTGTGTGTGCTTCCATTAGTTTTGATTGCTATGTGTTTTATTGGCGAGAGGCAAGCCGCTGTTTACCTGCGACAAGAAGTTGATTATTTTTTCGAAAGTCATAAAACTCAAGTCGCAGTGGGAAGGAACACGTCAAAAACTCACCTGCTTGGTATGGCGCTTCTGGTCATCGCAGAGCCATGAAATTTTGGCCAGGAGTATAACACATCGTAGTCTCACTGTGACATATGTTTTCTAATCAAAATATCAAGAGAGAAAGTGAATATTGAGTCCGTTCCGGTTTGCAACCTGTGTCCTATTTCAAACCGTCGCCTCTACATACATCAGGCCCATTTTCTGTCATAATTTCTTTATTCCTGCTCATCCTCTCTTTTTCCATTTCTTCGCTGCCCTCTACTGTTCGAATTATTTACAGCAATACACTTCTGTTTGTGTGCATGTGCGTGGTTTGTTTGTGGTTTGTATGTGTGTGTTTGTGTGTTTGTGTTTGTGTGTGTGTGTGTGTGTGTGAGAGAGTGTGGTTGTGGGTGGGTGTATATATGTGTATGTTGTTGTGTGTGTGTGTGTGTGTGTGTGTGTGTGTGTGTGTGTTTGTTTGGTGTGCTCATAATGGGATCATTTTCATGTTCACCCAGAGAATTGGCGAATTTAGGTTGTGTCGGCTGTTGCGTAATTCAATAGCCAGTTGTGTCATCTTTCCAAGATTCCTTTAAAGACCCTCTCCGCTCTCCCGGAAAGACCCACTTGACCAGGTTTGGCAATGCGCAACAAGTACAAAAGAACAAGTAAGTGTGTATGTGTATAGGAGCGCGGGGGAGGGGGGGGGGGGGGGGGGGTGGCAAGGGTGAAGAAAATATTTGAAACATGACAGTTCGACCTACACTCATGTTTGTAACTGAGGTGATGCTGAATATCATTAACCTGGCGATCTACAGTTTATAATCATGGAAGTGGTAAGGAAATTTGCGCTGTGTAGAGTTTTGGAAGAAAAATATAAAAAAATTCTATTTTTCTATTTAATAGTGACGGGCGGGTAATATTAATATTTATTATTATTGCGCACACACTCGTGGCCAAGGCCAATCAAGGAGGATGTGAGGGCGATTATAGCCAGCCATGGCAAAAATAAGAAAAATAAGAAAAGGAAGGGAAACTTGTGCAAATCAGAACACCAACAATAAAAGAACAGAATGGGGGAATACATGACAATTCGAAATTTCTCTCAAAGGATTTAAGAGATTTGACGGTAGGAACGTGCAGTTTCTGATCACAAAACTGAAGACAGGTACCTAAGACATTTGGTGACCTGGTAAGCTGCTAAACGCTTGTACAGTTCAATAGCACTCACTACAGTTGCACTCATTGAAATCCGGCAAGAGGCGCAAACCTACCGCTCTAGACCAGTTACGAAGCATCACTCTATTTGAACATGTACTTGAAGTACATCTGTACCTCCAGCCGCATACCTATCACTCATAGGGCCGCCAATTATGGTTGTACAAAGCCTCTTGTACGGGCGAATAACGTAGCGTAGCAAGTCTGATAACTGTTCAATGATGATGTCAGTGCAAGTGTGATAACTGTTCAATGATGATGTCAGTGCATGTAGCAAGTGTGATAACTGTTCAATGATGATGTCAGTGCATAGCAAGTGTGATAACTGTTCAATGATGATGTCAGTGCATGTAGCAAGTGTGATAACTGTTCAATGATGATGGATCCTTGCTGTTGTGTACCCTGCTGTACTGGAACTGGTCCTAGTCACACACATCGTGTCATTCAGTCATACATAGAGACGATCTGTTGGCTACTCTCTTGGTCTCCACCCTACGGGAACCACCAAACTATCTGGACCCATCCCATAAGCTATCTCCCGGCGCTCTCTCGTGCTAACCTTCTGAAATATGTCATACATCATTGGTAGGGCTTGGTGTGATGTAAAAGAAAGCCACTTCCTTTCCTACATTGTCGGAATCGGTCTATGCACCAGCGTAACATGTACTTCAGTCGTGGCCAAAGGAATCACACCCGCAAGTCAAAAGTAGCTCAGCGTTTGCACTCCAATGACTTCATGCACGTTCCTAAAACTGATCTGACGGCCGCAGCGGCCGCATGAGACTTGGCATTGCTTTTGTCACGTGGGTTGGCCAATTGGATTTCTTTGGCCACGACTGCTCAGTCATCATGTACTAATGTATACTATGGAATGACGGCAAGTAGTTATTTCTGTGCAAAACTGTACTCTGTAGTGTGTAAAATGCATGATGCAGTGCAACACCTAAGTACACATGTACTGTACTGTGTAGTGTGTAAAATGCATGGTGCAGTGCAACACCTAAGTACACATGTACTGTACTGTGTAGTGTTTAAAATGCATGGTGCAGTGCAACACCTAAGTACACATGTACTGTACTGTGTGGTGTGTAAAATGCATGGTGCAGTGCAACACCTAAGTACGGATGTACTGTACTATGTAGTGTGTAAAATGCATGGTGCAGTGCAACACCTAAGTGCACATGTACTGTACTGTGTAGTGTGTAAAATGCATGGTGCAGTGCAACACCTAAGTACACATGTACTGTACTGTGTTGTGTGTAAAATGCATGGTGCAGTGCAACACCTAAGTACACATGTACTGTACTGTGTAGTGTGTAAAATGCATGGTGCAGTGCAACACCTAAGTACACATGTAATACAATCATCATATAGTTAGTACGGCCTTAAGGATAAGTCCTTGTTACCTGAGATTAGTTACCAGGACAACAGGCACTTCGTAGATAACTACTCTCTCACACATGCAGTCATCTTTAAACAATTATGCTCTATTTCTGATTCCTGTTATCATGAAGTATATAGTCAGCCATCTCTCTGTCCCCACGTCGTTTCTCCACAGACCAATTTTGCCATTATGAAATGTCAGCCTTCAGCATATCCCTGATCTATTTGAGAGCGATGAAAAAACGGATTTACATAAAAATTAGCTGAGCTATAGTCACCATCAGTACACACACAGGTGAAAACAGCTCTGTAACATGCTTCACCGCACTCATACATTGCATCCAGCACAACACATTGAGCAGCAGACAGCACACAGGCACACTGTGAAGGTCGGGTCTCCGTATGGATAACAAAAACAAGACTTCCGAATAATGATGATGAAAATAGCGAAAGTGCAGTGCACCGTACAACAAGTTGTGTACCGTAATGACGTAATGACGTAATGACGTAATGATCCGGCAAGGCAATTGCAGCAGTGGTACATGGTGTAAACCTTGGCAAAGTGTAAACGCATCATGTTGTGCAATGATAAGGAAAACAAGTGCAAGATCAGTGCAGACACACACACACATTCTGTGCTGTAATAAAAATGCATGCAAAGTAAAGTGCAGTTGCGACAAAGTGTGTTCCTTACTGATACAGAAAACAAAGTCAGAAAACAGCAGAGCATGAAAATACATTGCCGACTCCAACCATGTAGAATACTAGAGGCGAAAAGTAACAAAAAAAGCAACGAAAACAGCTGGCAATAAGAAAGCAACGAAGACAGCTGGCAGTGAAAATGCAACGAAAACAGCTGGCAGTGAAAAAGCAACGAAAATAGCAATGAAAACAGTGATGAGCTGCACAAAGACCACACTGTGATCTCACATCATGGATAAAGGTAGTGCATGATCATTCCACACACCCAGCCACACACGTATTCTGTGCTGTAGTGATAAGAAAAATGATACAAGCGAAACAGCAGTGTACACGAACACATCATGTTGTGTAACTGTCACAGAAAACAAATGAAAACATCACTGCACACACACCCATGCAATCATATTGCAGGTCGGTAGTGATGTAGGCTAGCAAGGGAATAACAATGACAAAAAGCTCACTGGGGTCTGGAATGATGGGTAAAAAAGAGGGAAACTGCGAGTTACACAAACAAATTCTGTGCTTTAGTGATGAGAAAAATAACAAGCGAAACTGCAGTGCTGTAGTTCACAAACATGATAATTGTGTCATGTAAAAAAAAAAGTAAAAAAAAAGTGACATCGCAATGCACACACGCACACATACATATTTCCATGAGGTAATGATGGAGACAAGCAAGTGAAGCTGCAGTGAAATGCACAAAGCATGTTGTGATCAGAAATGATGGATAAAAACAAGTCGAACTGTTCAACATGCAAACAACCATGACAGTGTGTTCTGTTACGTTGTAGTACTAAAAGCAAGCCGAACGGGAACTTCAGGGCAAATACACACATGGACATCATTGATGACGAAGAAGAATAGCAAGTGAAATGGCATTACACACAAGCACATCGTGCTACAAAAATAGCTAGGCAAATTTTGTAGGCGGCAATAAGTGCACATGCACATACAAACAAACACACACACACACACACACACACACACACATACATTCAACATACACATACACTCACAAACACATACATTCATAAAAAAGACTTGAAAAAGACGAGTGAAAATGTCAGTGAACATAAACGCAAAATCCATAATTCTCTGTAATACTGAGGTAAACAAGAGAAAGATTGTTGTACAAACATGCAGGACATTATGCAAGTGAAAGAGTAAACAACAAATTGCCACAATGGCCAATTTCTAGCCAGCATGACTACTGATTGATAATGGAAGACATCAGACACTGTTCCGACTCTGGCCTCAGTGACCATGACAACGATGACCTGGTTGGAGAGTGCAGACACCTGTAACCTGTATGTGACAAACAAACAAATACATGATGTACACATCATTTATACACACACACGTACACAAATACATGTACACACACACACACACACACACACACACACACACACACACACACACACACACACACACACACACACACACACACACACACACACACACACACGTGTACACAAATACATGTACACGCCCTTGTCTCAGGGGATTCTCTCCCTGCATTAGCTATGCTTGTCACATGCTATGAGATTGTGTCTAATAATAAAAATAATAATTTATACACACGTGTACACAAATACATGTACACACACACACACACACACACACACACACACACACACACACACCATGTCCCGTGTATCATGTATACGCCCGTCGCAAGAGAAGCACGTGCACTGGACGTGCACCCACAGATTTTCTATTATAGCAACGATAGCGAACAAGATCTGGATGAGACAGATCAAGACTTGCGCCAGATAACTGTCTAATCCACAAAACTGGCGAAGCCATGTGAATCGACCATCAATGCACACCTGGTCTACACCACACAGAGTACATCGGCATAAAACGGCAAAGACAGTTACCTATGCACACCCTACACTTCCTGGGGTAACCAGTATATACAGCACGCTGCTTTGATAGAAGCAGACACTAGATGCGCTGGTACCTTGAAGTGAAATTGGAGTTATTAGATAACTCCAATTTCCATTTACCAACCAGCCTCGGCTACTGAGTACTGGGAACCCAGAGCCAACAGACATACCAACAACCTCAGCCACGAAAGATATTATAGTAAGGACACACTGGATTGTGGAGCCGAAACCAGTCCAACTTCCAAATGCTTACACGCACACACACACACACACACGCACACACATACACACACACACACACACACACACACACACACACACACACACACACACACACACACACACACACACTACTATAATTATTCCCGTAGCTATGCAGAAGACGCTACTTCAGTAGCGTCTGGCGCTAGGCAGGGTCCACACAGCTTTAATTTGATATTTGTTTGTTTGTTTGTTTGTTTGTGTCACGCCTAGCGCTATCCCGTATCTATCCCGTACCGTACCGTAACATCAAACACAGCTGGCCACATACAGCTGGCCGACATATTCAAATAGGGATTTCAAACGCGAGGTCATAACGTGAAGCAACTTTGAGGAATGAGTATGAATTTATAACATCCCTATGCTTTTTTGCCTAGGTCATCAAGGCGGTAGACGTTGTCGTATTACCCTGTCCCGTACCTGTCCCGTACCTGTACCGTACCGTACCATCAAAGACGGCTGGCCACATGCACAATGCATATTCAAATAGGGCTTTCAAATGCAACATCATAACGTGAAGCAACTTGGAAGAATTAGCATGTATGCGAAGTGTATCGGGGGATGCATGCAGGGCGATAGTGCGGGTTCCAATCCCACGTTATGTCTTCATTTGTCTAGGTCATCAAGGCAAAAAGCATAGCGTAGGGCCCTGAGCTTCCAAGCTCTCTCGTTCACAGCAGCCAGAAATGGCCACAATGCTCCCGAATATGCGGTGTTCTTCAGTACACGGTTGGTGATGGTGGCAATGACACCATCACCATCATCAACACCAACGACGAAGACAATAACAACAAAACACACTTGCACACACGTGCAAACACACGCACACACATGCACACGCACACACACACACACACACACACACACACACACACACACACACACACACACACACACACATACACACATACACACACACATGCACACACATACACACACCACGCACGCAAGAGCACACTCACGCACGCACGCATACACATACACTAAACACACTTCAGTGTATACTTGGTCCGTCTAGTTAAAATTTGCGCTTTTCTTCGCACTTGATAATATGTTGATATTTTGGTGTTCTGCCAGTGCTGTATGGCATGGAACCACCGATTCACCATCCTAACATAACCATTGAGCAGTGCTTCCGACGACATGGCAGCACAAACCATCACAGAAGTTGCGATCGGTTCGTTTGAGTCTTTTTCACTGGAGCTGGCGCCAACAAACACTTCCGTCCGCGCTAGAAAACGCTGCAACCTCTGTTCCAGTCCGTAAAATAGGTCGGGATGTTCGCATTTCAGAGCGAAGGAAAATACAGTTTCTGCTTACTTCCAGCTGTCTGGTGGCGAGAATGGTTGAACACAGGGAGTTTTAGAGAAGCTGGAAAAGTGCTTCGCGAGCTTGAATTTCAGTGCTCGCACAGTACAGCGCCCAGTGAAAAGTTATCACCAGCAAAACGCTGACGAAGAAACTACACCTCAAGTAGACATCTCCAAAATATGAGACCAATCCGGAGGACACACTTTGAAGCTCACAGAGGACTGGGCAAAGGAGCTAATCAAAATAACCACCAAGTCCTGAGGGAAACTCTCGTGCAAAGGACTTTCAGGAAACCAGCCGAAAAGACTAGTTCAAGCCCTTAGGAATTAGGAAATTAGGTGCAGTAGATCTACACACAGGTGTTACATCAATCAAGCGGAAGCTATCACTGCGCTGCAGGGTATGGGAGGGCCTTCAAGCAGCCAAACAATTTTCAAGCAGTTGTCATGGCAACCCGCAGTGGTGATGTAATCAGATAGGAGTGTGCTGATCACTGACCTGGTTAGACTTGATCACTCTCCGTCAGCAAACTGTTCATCTGCTCAAGACGCGTTGTGTACAGTCCGAATTCCTTGACCATCTTGCACAGGTTGATGTAGCCATCACGTTCCTGTGCCATGATGATAGCCAGCAGCTCACGGTTGTGGGGTTCGTTACCATGGTTTCTCTCAGTGAGCGCGAGCCTGTCGATCCGAGCAAGATCCGTAAAGAATCCGTACTTCTGCGCTTTGCCACGTAGGCTGGCAGCATCTAGTGATTGCAGCCAGATGTGGATATCATTAATGAAGATGGCATGTTTGAATGGGTTCTTCAAGAACGTCTCTGAAAAGCAGAAAAGAACGTGACCATATTGTTGAGGCCAATGTACAATCTGATCAGGTGCTGTTTCTGCCAAAGCAGCAAAGGCAGTATAAACGTTCTCCAGACAAAGTGCCTGTAATGAGAAATTATCAAACACCCTTAGAAACTCTTCCAGCCCGTCAATTTTATTAAATAAGCGACGAGGACATAATAGATTTCCCTGATGAGTGTGTCATGAAAAATGATTAGGAAATTTTGCATTTAGATTCATCATATTATTCTCTTCTTTTTGTTTCGTAACGTCCGCCTTACTAATACTATTCTTGACATTTTTTATCGGTTGAACGCGTCCTTATCGCCATCAAGTTTTTAAGTTGTGCATTCGCCTCATAATGCATGCTGCCACAACACTCTGATTAACTTTGCTATGAATGAAGCCACAGTTTTTACAGCTGACAATAACGAGATTGCTGCAATACTTCTACACCTAGATACCTGACAATAACGAGATTGCTTCAATACTTCTACACCTAGGTACCTGGCTCGGAATTTGCATTCACGGTGCTTGCAATGCTTTTCTTTTCTCAAGCACATTTCAAGACAAGATGATACAGTTTTGCTCTCGCTTTCATTGTTAAAATTCACACTTGTAAATTTCTCTGCTGTTGTTCTTAGTGTTATTTCTCTAACTTAGATTTTCTATGATAGCTCCATTTTGTTTCAGTGTTCTTTAGTACAACGACGATTCCTGAGGAGTGTTGCACGAAAACTTGTGTGTATCCTTGTTTTCTCTACACAATTTCTTCATATTTTCATCGTTTTATTGTCTCCACCGTTTCGCATTGTATGAATAAAGTGTACATTAATGTCGATTCAGCTTGTCTTATTGATTGGGGTAATAAAATTATTGTCTCCTCGCCGTTTGTTTTAATAGACTTATACCTCTCCATATTCACCCTATCATCCCTACAGCTCAACAAACGAGTCACGTTGGTCATACATGCACATGTACGCAGAACTAACGTAAGTCGTTGTTACTTCACTACCGACTGGCATATTCTTGCATGAATCGGAGAGCGACGTGTTCTTGACAGAATCTTGTTCAAGTTTTTTTTAGGACAGATCGTGTACACGTACTGGTGCATGTACTGGTGCATGTGGCACGAGAGGCGACGACCTTGGAGAACACGCTCGAGCCAATCACCTTGGAGAACACGCTCGAGCCAATCACCTTGGAGAACACGCTCGAGCCAATCACCTTGGAGAACACGCTCGAGCCAATCACCTTGGAGAACATGCTCGAGCCAATCACCTTGGAGAACATGCTCGAGCCAATCACCTTGGAGAACATGCTCGAGCCAATCACCTTGGAGAACACGCTCGAGCCAATCACCTTGGAGAACACGCTCGAGCCAATCACCTTGGAGAACATGCTCGAGCCAATCACCTTGGAGAACACGCTCGAGCCAATCACCTTGGAGAACATGCTCGAGCCAATCACCTTGGAGAACACGCTCGAGCCAATCACCTTGGAGAACATGCTCGAGCCAATCACCTTGGAGAACACACTCGAGCCAATCACCTTGGAGAACATGCTCGAGCCAATCACCTTGGAGAACACGCTCGAGCCAATCACCTTGGAGAACACGCTTGTGCTTTACGAGAGCCAATCATCTTCCGTTTCGATGCGAAGATTTGACGAATCCATGAGCATAACGCCAATTCAGGAGTAGTTTCACAGACACGATCCAAGCGATTCTGCCCTCCCTTATTTTCTTTTCAGGCATCGCGCCGGAGCTTTTGTATGCCCTAGAAAAGTTCTACGCCAACGTCCATAAACAAAATATTCCTGAGTACAAATGAAATTCCTTGTTTGCCGCTTGATCCGAAATCCATCGACATATTGAGCGTCCAAAACCTTGTTTGCTTGTTTGAACGCTCCGTCTGTGAAGATGCTCACTGTTGGCTGATACTAGTAACTTGTCAGCACCTGGTCATATGCGGATTCAGCGCCCAGTGGCAAGCAAGGAATTTCGTTTGTACTCAGAAAAGTCCTGTTTACGGAAGTTAGCGTAGAACCTTTCTACGACACTGGCCAGCTCTGGTGTACTGACTGAAGTTAAGCTCAGCACTGAGTACTGCTCTCTTTACAGTACGTATCGAAAAGTGGTGAATATAAGCGGTGAATATCTAGCAATTTCCACCACTTATGTAGATGGCCAATTGCATGAGGGTGAATATGGAATCAAGTATAAGCCAGTGTATAAAGAGCAAGAAGGTATGTATTTTTGCTTATGTATATAGCATACAGACAGACTAAGACAACAATAGTAACAGCACACACATTGAAGGGCAGTTGAGCGCAGATAGATGAGAGCAGAATAAAGGGAGAAGTCCTATGTTAAAAGGAATCACGCACCTGTTTGTACAGAGAGCTCCGCTACATCCTCCTCATGCAGGTTTGCAATGCGTTCGTCTGTTGACCGCATGGCATGGCTGAAGACACACACACACACAAACACACATATACACACATACACACAAACATACACATACACACATACACACACACACAAACACACACACACACACAAACACACATATATACACACACATACACACACACACACACACACACACACACACACACACACACATACACACACACACACATACAGTAAAACCTGGTTTATGCGACCATGACACGGTGCAAGGAAAAGCGGTCATTAAAACCAGGTGGTCTTTAGAACCAGGTCCCACACTCTCTGTGTAGAACTGTCTGTGCATGGAAAAACGGTCGTTAAGATCAGGTAGTGGTTAAAACGAGAGGTCACTCAAACCAGGTTTTACTGTACACACACATTTAAAGTGAACAAACATGCAATATACTCACCAGTTGATCACATGAAAATCCATACATGCGCACACATATAGTTGCCGACATTCCTGGCTGCACTCCTGCGCGCATTCCTGGCCGCACTCCTGCGCGCATTCCTGAACACACGCTTCCCACCGCCCAAACGCCTGCCCACACTCTTGTCCGCACATTTTTTGCCCACGCTCCCCTTCCCACACTTTTCTGCGCGCAGTCCTGACCGCACTACTGCCCACACTCCTGCCAACATTCCTGAACACAATCATGCTCGCACTCTTGCCTATACTCCTCCCCGCACTTCTCGGCTCGCATGCCTGATCACACTCCTTCCGGCACTCCTTCCCACAATTCCTCCAACGCTGATCAGTTCTACCCGCACTCCTCAGTCCTGCCCGCACTCCCCAGTCTTGCCCGCACTCATCAGTCCTGCCCGCACTACTGCATACACTTCTGCCCGCATTACTGCCTACATTTGCCCGCACTACCGACTAGTGGTGAAATCCGACATCTCCCCTCTCGGACACACGCTCGAGGATTGCCTCAACACTGCACGGGACAAAAAGCTATGGCTGGACTTCATTGACAAATGTACATCGGTGAAAAAAATGGCATGTACTTGTCATGTGCTAGAACCTGTATATGGTTTTTTTCGTCTGCTATTCTTCCTGCTGCAATCTATTTCATGGTGAAACAGTTGACAGATGCGTGGAATCCATTATCTGGGAGACATGCGACCCGTATTATTATTATTATTATGATTGCCACCTACAATTCTGCCCACACTTCTGCCTAAACTCTTCAGTGCTGCCTACACTACTGCCTGCACTACTGCCTGCACCACTGCCTACACTACTGCCTACACTACTGCCTACACTACTGCCTGCACTACTGCCTACACTACTGCCTACACTACTGCCTACACTACTGCCTACACTACTGCCTACACTACTGCCTACACTACTGCCTACACTACTGCCTACACTACTGCCTACACTACTGCCTAGACTACTGCCTACACTACTGCCTACACTACTGCCTGCACTACCGCCTGCACTACTGCCTACACTACTGCCTACACTACTGCCTACACTACTGCCTGCACTACTGCCTGCATTACTGCCTACACTACTGCCTACACTACTGCCTGCACTACTGCCTACACTACTGCCTACACTACTGCCTACACTACTGCCTGCACTACTGCCTGCACTACTGCCTACACTACTGCCTACACTACTGCCTACACTACTGCCCACACTACTGCCCACACTACTGCCTACACTACTGCCTACACTACTGCCTACACTACTGCCTACACTAATGCCTACACTACTGCCTACACTACTGCCTACACTACTGCCTACACTACTGCCTACACTACTGCCTACACTACTGCCTACACTACTGCCTACACTACTGCCTAGACTACTGCCTACACTACTGCCTGCACTACTGCCTACACTACTGCCTACACTACTGCCTACACTACTGCCTACACTACTGCCTACACTACTGCCTGCACTACTGCCTACACTACTGCCTACACTACTGCCTACACTACTGCCTGCACTACTGCCTGCACTACTGCCTGCATTACTGCCTACACTACTGCCTACACTACTGCCTACACTACTGCCTACACTACTGCCTGCACTACTGCCTACACTACTGCCTACCCTACTGCCTACAATACTGCCTACACTACTGCCTACACTACTGCCTACACTACTGCCCACACTACTGCCTGCACTACTGCCTACACTACTGCCTACACTACTGCCCACACTACTGCCTGCACTACTGCCCACACTACTGCCTACACTACTGCCTACACTACTGCCTACACTACCGCCTACACTACTGCCTACACTACTGCCTACACTACTGCCTACACTATTGCCTACACTACTGCCAGCACTACTGCCTACACTACTGCCTACACTACTGCCTACACCACTGCCTACACTACTGCCCGCAGTTCTCTTCACACACTTTACCTCACACTAGGCTTTAGGCAGTACACCCGTTCATGCACTCACCACAATATGCTGAAGTGAGTTTTTGCAAAACATGTTATTAAACAAACAGTGTAGGGAAATTATTGCTACTGCCTACTGACCAGCACTTTGGTCGAGTGGTTGTGGGCTTTCCTGCGAATCCCAAGGTTCTGAGTTCAAGACCAGTGCTGACACCAGTGAGCGTGTACTGTCTTAACATATGCTGTGATGCAAGCGTGAACCACTTTACATGCAGTTAACTGCTCTGACAACCACGGTTAACTGGCTACTGACTACACTGTCAGGGCTCACCACGACCGTACAAAGCGCCAATAACAGTCATTTGGATTTGACCATTCAGCGCATGGCAAAACGGGCTGTTTCTTGCAATTGTGGGGTGTTTTCTGAGTGGAACTTGGCTGTATTCGTTGGTTTTAGACATTAGGCGATTGTGGATTCGTGTTCAGAAAGTGTGTCTTTGGAGGGTTACCGTCTCGAATTTTTCGATTTTGCCTTCGTTTGGCTGAGATCGGATGGTTAAATCACTCAAACGCGAAGGCGTGCAAACAAGTGAATGAAGAGAAAATTAGAAACCAGGGACGGTAAACCGATAGAGAATTCCAAGACCTTGAAAATGAGCTATCGATGGTGAAAATCGGCCAAGGAGAACCGATGGTCTACTTTTTGAAGATATCAAGGTCGGCCGTGCGTCGCCGCGCGCACCAACAAAAACTGGCAGCCTTGCGCATATCGGGAAGTGCAACAAGAAAGGACGGAGGCGACAGCAAGCGTTCCAAGTGAAGAGTTTACCTTCGTGTTGACTCAAGCTAAGGACTCGTGCCAGTCAGGGATCATACCAGTCACCTCTCATCATGGTCATGACTAAGGGATTCATTTGTGGCCAGAAAACTCCCCACTCGCAGCGTGAAAGCTGCGAGGCCAAACAGAAAAGGGTGTGCCGAGTCGCAATCAGGAAATGCTGAGTTCTACAGACAACATTGGTTAGCTAGGCGCGGCAAATTCTTGTAGATGCCAGGACTCCAGTTCACCAGTACCTCACGGACATAATATAGTGGTCGACACCCACCAGCGGATTGAGAAAAATGACCAAGATGGCTTAGAGAAAGGACGTCTTCTCCGCGTGTCTTTCCCGACATCAAAGAACAAGATGCGCTTCGGCACTGGCCCTTTGCTGTACAGAGTAGAGACCAGGGAGTCGTAAAATACCGGTATTTTACGACTAGACTGTACATCGCTGTACATCGAGGAGCATGAACTCGGGTGCGTAGCCGCTATGACTGCACACACTCTGGCCTCGGCGCCATCGCCATGTTTTCAAAATGGTGGTCGACGCTTTTCGAATTTTGTATGGTCGGGTGAGCCCTGACTGTATTTGAAGTGAGGGTAACATAGAGGCAGCTAATGAGGTTTGCACCTTGTCGGGCATTGCTTGTGATACTTACTAAGTCACCTTCGCTGTCACGCACTGCATCTGCCACCCTGGTATCTCAGGCATGGTGGTGGCCTTGTACAAGCGAAACTTCCTAAACTGGTTGTGTTTCTCAACACAATTCTACAAACGGTTGTGTTACGCGTCTGCGATCTTTACTTTCTTCTCATGAACCTCAAAATAGGGAAATGTGTTTTAAAAGGATCTGGGAACTACACAGCTCAATAGGCCCTTTCTGGTTTCTAGGGATGACGCCGTCACATGAAAAGACCACATGAATCGGCCTTTCGGGAATCCATAAATAATTTTTTTTTTAAAGACCACATGAAAAGACCACATGAAAAGACCACATGAAAAGACCACATGAAAATACCACATGAAAAGACTACATGAAAAGACCACATGAAAAGACAACATGAAAATACCACATGAAAAGACTACATGAAAAGACCACATGAAAAGACCACATTAAAAGACCAGATGAAAAGACCACATGAAAAGACCACATGAAAATACTACATGAAAAGACCACATGAAAATGCCACATGAAAAGACCACATGAAAAGACCACATGAAAAGACCACATGAAAATACCACAGGAAAAGACTACATGAAAAGACCACATGAAAATGCCACATGAAAAGACCACATGAAAATGCTACATGAAAAGACCACATGAAAAGACCACATGAAAAGACTACATGAAAAGACCACATGAAAAGACCCCATGAAAAGACAACATGAAAAGTCGTCAGATGCCGCTTCTTTACGGATGGAGAGGAAAACTCAGATTCACCAATTATAGTATATGGGCAAAGGTGAAAACCCACTTTCTGCATCAATGTTGCCCTGTTTTCCACACCTCGTGTTCCCAACTCACTGTGGTGTACAGCCCAGTTGAAGCAATCCCCTTCAAGTCAGGACTTGATCATGATACATATACCTGTCATTGCACAATCATGGTCTGAGAACTCACTCACTGGGCCGGCCTGACTCATTATGTTGGAAATGGTGCAGTACATTTCACTGAATGTTACCTAGGACTGATTCAACGGTTCTATACTTCATTGTTGAGCAATGCACGCGTAGAACTTACAGTGGTGAAGTGGGTAGGACAGTACCACAGGTTTCATGAGCAGCATGACGCTCAGCATGGCCTGATACATTCAACAGGAAAGAACAGAAAACAGCATATGAAAAAGGCTATCCATGGCTCGGTGCAGACAAATTTGATTATAGGAATGGGTATAAATTGTAAACTGATTTCATAAAAGGTAAGCATAAAACACATTCCCAACTTGTCATGTATTCACTATCCACAGAGACAATGACTCTTTTTTTCGTACAGAATCTCCTGCAAACTGAAGTTCTCTTTGAGACCTGAGCAAGCTCATAGATCAAATGAGCCTCTAAATTCAAAAAGGTGGCTCACGTCATTTTTGAGCATTTTGAGTGATCTATACCATGGCATTGCTGTATCTCAGCAGATCACTTTGTAAAAACACCTAGGTCTAAAATTGTCATGTTTCACAGAGTTATAGGTGTTTCAAAAAGTGTTATTTTTCGTTGGCTGAGCGTAGCGAATGAAACGAAAAATGTATTTTTTTGCCAGCATTTTCACCATAATTACTGCACCAGGATTGCGTCAGCTGTTTTTTGTCAGTGTTCTCAAACTTTTCTCTTCATCGTGGTCTTTCTCTTTTCGTTGTAGTTTGCATTTTTGTTCGTCCGGGGAAGAGTTTGACCATGCCACAAACGAGAAGTAAAAACTCGCTGGCAAGCGTTTCGCTTGCACCCCTGGTTCAAATCCCAGTTCCACCCAGAAAAAAGCGGACCCAGTCCGCCTCACCTGGACCTGTCGGCACAGCCCGAAAGCGTATCCGTGCTGGCAACGTCGAGGAGCAAGTACCTGCTCCGGATCCTGTCATGGTTGGTCCCCCGGAGGTTGCCGGCTCCCCGCCAGCTTGGTTCGCGCAGGCCTTCAGACAGCTGTCAGAAGAGATCCAGGATGTCAAGAGAGAGAGACGAGGGCTGCACGGGCTGAGCTGGCAGCCTCCAAGTCGAACCACGTCATGTTGAAGCAAGCTGGCCTGCAAAAACAATTCGACGTAAACCAAACTGTGCTCGATGGCGTGGAGGAAGCGCTCACTCAACTGCCATCAGACGCGGCTGCATACCTAGCATAAATTAACGCGACCCTGACCCTCCGCCAGAAGCATCTCCGGATTGCGGACGCTTACGATTGGAAAACAGTCGAAGTATATGAAAACGGTGTGCTGGGTGACAGGATGGCAGATGAAAAGAGGATTGCTCAGGCGGCTGCAACAGCACGGCGGATAGCAGCACGTCCTGATAGCACGCGGGAGCATCAGCAGCGGAATTTTCGCACCCCCAGCCAGCAGTATATGTCGCGGCCGCCTGCACAGTTCGGCCGAAGAAACACTGGCTTCGGGGCGTTCGGAGACGGAGGCAGAGTTCTGGGCTCTGCGGGAGTCACCTGCTATGCCTGTGGACAGGTGGGTCACATGGCCAGAGTATGCCTCAGCCAGCAGCGTGGTCCACGGCAACACCAACCGTGATTTGGTGGAGCAGCCAATGGGCAATTCGGCGGCCCCAGTATGCTAAGTGCTTCACCAGCGGCAGCAGCCCTCATGCCAGCCCAGCACCCACAATAAGATAAGTGTGCACGGGCGGCTTAAGCCTTGTGTTAGTTTTTGGTGTGGTATTGGCGTGTCAGAGTATGTATTGAGGATTATTGGGTGTGGATATTTTTTGTGTTTCACTGCCCTTCCTCCTCCAAAGGTCATCTGTAATTCCCCTTGCTGTTATCTCCCATGCTGAGTTTGTGTCCTCCAATATCCGGGATTTATGTTTGTCGGGTGCCGTTGAGGAAGCCCCACTGGCCAGCTTAGTTGTGGTCAGTCCTTTGGGTGTTGTTCCAATGAAAAATGGGAAGCTGCGCCTAATATTTATCTGCGGTATGTTAATCAATTCCTAGCTGATATGCGTTTCTCTTTTGAAGATCTTCGTGTTATTCCCCAGTTATTTCAGTCCGAGTGCTTTATGTTCACATTTGACTTGGAGGAGGCATAGTTATTGGATTTTTTCTTGTCTTGGAAAGCAATGGTGTAGATTTATATGGGCTGGGCTTGATCCTATGCGCAAATGGGTGCTAGCGGAGTGCTGTCACTACAGTCTATGGAGGGCATGCATGTTTGTGTGAGGCTCCCTGGGAGCAAAGGTGTGCAACACTTGGTGATCTGCATGCCTATGGGAGGCAGAGCGTGAGCTCCCTGGGAGCGTGTGTGTCATTCCCACCTGGTGGGCAGGTTCTGCATGTGTTTTCCGAAGGGGACAATGTGCGACGGGACACTGGGTTATCTGCATGCCAGTGAGAGGCAGGCCTGGAGCTCCCTGGGAGCGGGTTGGTCATCCCCACTTGGGTGGTTAGGTTGTGCATGTGTTTGCCCAAGGGGACAATGTGTTACGGGATGCTGTTGTCTGCTGGGTCGGGTTTGTTTGTGGCTCGGAAGCCTACGGAATGAGCTGCTATCATGCTATCATGCATGGGACTCGTTTACGATGGCCATTAATGAGGACCCATGGTTGTTGTTGTTTTTTTGCTGACTGGGTTGCGTGTTTCTGCCTATTTTGCTTCTCCTTGTGTCATTCTTGTCAGGCCCGTTCGCGTTCTGGGTCGAGGTGGACGCTGTGACACAACCGTCCCTGAAACCTCTGGCGGACCTGCTAAGGACAGTGACTTGGAAGGATGTTGCTAGCTCCACTGCGTCTGCGTACCAGCTCGCGTTACACTGATGGGAAAAGTGGACCGTACCGTGTCAAGTTACGTCATTCCCAGCGGCACCCACCAGCGTGTGCTTATACATCGTCAAGTTTTGCAGTCACAGTGTACCATGGGGCCAATAAACCAATTTGTGGCGGCATTGCACTGGGCGCATTGTAAGGCGGATTGGCAGGATCCCCACAACATACCGTGGTGAGACAATTGCTCACTGCTGCAAGACGTCTTTGTGCCCGACCAATCAATCGCCGCTCACCCTTGAGGTCGGTGGTGTTCAACAAGGTCGTCGCCACACTGGCTATCCCTACCGCCCCGTTGCAGGACTGGCAAACCGCAGCGTTGCTTGTCCTCGGCTTCACTGCTCTGCTTCGCTGGGACAATTTACAACGCCTCACGCCTCAGGATATCTCCATTTGCGTCACGCATATGTCCCTCCACCTGCGACAACGCAAGAACGACCAGTTGCGCCAGGGCGATGTGGTCATGGTGAGCCGACTGGAGCAGCAGGCTACTACACCATGTCCTGTGTCGGCCATAGAGGGTTTCATGGAGAGAGCACGGCATGTACCCACTCAACCTCTCTTTGGCAAGGTCTCCGCAGCAACCCACCAGTCATGTCTGCGGGGAAAGATGACATACGCCCGGGCGCGCGAATTGATCCACACAGCTCTCGCCCGCGTAGGTGAAGACCCCACAAGGTATGGCATGCACAGTCTCCGCTCGGGGGGAGCGACGGCAGCGGCCAATGCTGGCGTGCCAGAGCGCCTTGTTCAGGGGCAAGGGGGTTGGAAGTCATCCACATGTAAGAACGTGTATGTGTAGGATTCCCTCAAGGACATGCTGTCAGTGTCTCGCGCTACACTGCACCAGTGACTGTCGGGTCGGCTATCCTTTCCGTCGTGAGTGAACAAAAACCACACTACTACTGTGATCTGTATCTTTCTGTTGTGTGTGGGTGTGTCTGTGGTGTACGCAGAGGCCAGCTAGCTGGCAAAAAGTGGTATTTTTCGTTGGCTGAGCGTAGCGAATGAAACGAAAAATGTATTTTTTTGCCAGCATTTTCATCATAGTTACGGCATCAGGATTGCGTCAGCTGTTTTTTTGTCAGTGTTCTCAAACTTTTCTCTTCATCGTGGTCTTTCTCTTTTCGCTGTAGTTTCCCACCCGCCCTCCCCTTTATTCTCACTTCGAGATAGGTCCTGCAGGCTACGTTTTGTTCATTTATCTTATGGGGTTATTCTAACCAGTTTTTTCCTCAGAGTTGTGCCTCCGCCGGGGTCCCGAGGTTTTTTTCCGCCAGCTTCGGGCTGGTTAATTATCCGGCGGCCCTATTCGCCACAGTGGTTCACTTTTTGCATTATGTTGGTCTGGTACATATGTGTACATGTATATGTGTGAGGTGGCATGCCCTTCTTCATGCTCATCTATACACTACGCTAAGCTCTTCCATCTTCCACCGTGAGTGAACAAAGACCACACTACTACTGTGATCTGTATCTTTCTGTTGTGTGTGGGTGTGTCTGGGGTGTACGCAGAGAGGCCAGTTAGCTGGCAAAAAGTGAGTTATACATCACTTTATGCGGAAAACACAACTTTAAAATGCATTTTCTCAGTACTGCGTGAAACGACATAAGCGTGGATGTTCCCAAGTTGTACTTATTGTAGTGTTGAGATACCCAATTCAAATATATCAATACAATACAAAACACCAAAAATAGAAAAAAGCCTCTTTTCCGATCTAGAGGCTCAAGTTGTGTTGCAAGATAGTGTGAAGTAGACATTTGCACACAAGTAAACTAACACTAGCATACAGGGAGCACACATGGTGTATTGAGAACATTCAACTTTACCAGCATCATCTTGGCGAGCGGCAGTGGACTGACTGGCTTGATCAGAGTGTGACTGGCTGTTCGAAGGAACGCTCTCTGCCGAGTCTGATTGAACAGTAGAGGAAGTGAATTAAAAAAATATCCATGTCTCGGTGCAGAAATATTCGATTATAGGAATGTGTATTAAATGCTAAAGGTCAGCATAACCCACATACCTAACCAGTCATGTGTTTATTATCCACAGGGAAAATAATTCTTTTTTTGGTATAGAATCCCATGCAAACTGAAGTTCTCTTTGAGACCTGAGAAAGCCCATAGATCAAGTTGTGTTGCAAGATAGTGTGAAGTAGACATTTGCACACAAGTAAGTAAACTAGCAGTAGCATACAGAGAGCACACATGGTGTATTGAGAACATTCTACTTTAAATAAGCGACGAGGAGATAATAGCTTTCCATGATGAGTGAGTCATGAAAAATGATCAGGAAATTTTGCATTTAGATTCATTATAATTATTATTCTCTTCTTTTTGTTTCGTAACGTCCGCCTTGCTAAAACTGTTCTGGACTTGTTTTATCGGTTGAACGCGACCTTCTCGACATCAAGTTTTAAGTTGGTGCATTCGCCTCCTAATGCATGCTGCCAGAACACTCTGATTGACTTTTCTATGAATGAAGCCACAGTTTTCACATCTGACAATAACGAGATTGCTTCAACATTTCTACACCTAGGTACCTGACAGTAACGAGATTGTTTCAATACTCCTACACCTAGGTACAGTTGAACATCGATTATCCGACCACCTCTGGGCAGACAACTGTCAGGCGGTGTTCAGATAAGGCAAATGTTCCGGATAAGAAAAAAAATGTCACTCACACACTTTCAGTGGTTATTACTAGCCGCACGACCTTTTTACTTTTTACTTTTCAAAATTTTCGTATTTTTTGAATGGCTCACTACATGCACAGTGCGTACTCTACGGCACGTGCGCCCAGAAAAACTGTTACGGATAATCGAATGGTCGGATAGTCAATGTGCGGATAATCGATGTTCAACTGTACCTGGCTCGGAATTTGCATTCACGGTGCTTGCAATGCTTTTCTCTTCTCCAGCACATTTCAAGACAAGATGATACAGTTTGTTTTACATCACCAGGCATACACATATGGGATAGGTGTGCAATGAGATTGGTAATCTTTCTACTCATGATTAGTCACACACGTTTAATCCACACACTTGTGATAAGTCACACACCATTGACTCATGCACTCAGCATAAGTCAAGCACTTTCGAAAGAAGGACATTACATTTTTCGACAGGCAAGCGCAGCGAGGTAGGTAATAACAATATTTTCGGGCAATATTTTTCGGTTGCAAGTATGGCATCTAATGTGTTCTTTATCGTTATTTCTTTTCCAGGCTTCCTCGATCAGGTTTGAGTCTCCTCAGGGTCCTTGCCCTCCCAACCTTCATTTCTGTGCACATCAATCTCGCTTTTTCAAATTAAATTTTGCTATGATGTGATTTGCCTGCTATCATGATGCCATACAATCACCATTGGGGACATGCACCTGGTTTTTCACCTCACTACTACGTGCTTCCGCGCGAGGATTTTTACCAGCTGGCGCGATCCAGGAAAATGAATCTGACCATCCCACGTACTTCAATTAGCAGCGCTGTTCTGCATTGTGACCCGTCCTTATAATCCTCGTGCATACCGTCTTCTTTCTATTTAAAACATTCTGTTCTCAGTCAGTATTTCTAGACTTCTCTCGTTATCCGATTCACATCTATCTGCGGTCAACTGCCCTCCAATTAGTGTGCTGTTCCTATTTATGAATATGTCTGTCAAACAGAGAGGTTCCAGGCTGTCCAAGAGAGTGCTCAATACCGAGAGGCAGAGCGGGTTCAGACAATAAGAGGACAAAGATAGTATTTTAACTCTGCGTTTCACGCACTAAGCCATCATCAGAAAACAGTTATCCGTACAGCTGAACAAACGAGTCACGTTGGTGATACATGAACATGTACGCAGAACTAACGTAAGTCGTTGTTACTTCATTACCGGGTGACATGTTCTTGCATGAATCGGAGAGCGACGTGTTCTTGACAGAATATTGTTCAAGTTTGTTAGGACAGATCGTGGACAAGTACTGGTGCATGTGGCACGGGATGCGACGACCTTGGTGAACACACTCGAGCCAATCACCTTAAAGAGCACGCTCGTGCTTTACGTGAGCCAGTCATCGTCCCCGTTTCGATGAGAAGATTTGACCAATCTGTGAGCATCATTTTCGGGAGTCGGTTAATAGACAGCAATCTAAGCGATTCAGCCCTCCCATATTTTCTTTCCAGGCAGCGCTCCGGAGCGGTTGCGTGCCCTAGAAAAGTTCTACGCCAACGTCCATAAGCAGAACATTTCTGAGTACAAACGAAATTCCTTGCTTGCCGCTCGATCCGCTATCCATGGACATGCCGAGCGAACAAAACCTTGTTTGCTCGCTGGCTGATAACTTGTCACCACCTGGTCACATGCCGATTTCATTTGTACTCAGAAAAGTCCTGTTTACAGAAGTTAGCGTAGAAATGTCCTACGGCACTCGCCATCTCCGGTGCGCTGACTGAAGAGAAATCAAGCGCAGCACCGAGTACTGCTCTCTTTACAGTAAGTATCGAAAAGTGGTGAATATAATCGGTGAATATCTAGCAATATCCACTATGCCTGTAGATAGCCAATTGCATGAGGGTGAATTTGGAATGAAGTATAAGTCAGTGTATGTAGAGCAAGAACTGAAGGTATGTATTTTTGTGTGTTTTCGTGTATGTATATAGCATACAGACAGACTAAGACAACAATGGTAACAGAACACACATTGAAGGGCAGTTGAGTGCAGATAGATGAGAACAGGATAAAGAGAGCAGTCTTATGTTAAAAGGAATAACGCACCTGTTTCTTCAGAGAGCTCCGCTTCATCCTCTTCGTACAGGTTTGCAATGCGTTCGTCCGTTGACCACATGGCATGGCTGTAGATACACTCGCACACGCACACACACACACACACACACACACACACACACACACACACACACACACACACACACACACACACACACACACACACATACAAACCCACAAACACGTTCAAAATGAACAAACATGGAACATACTAACCATTTGATGACAAAATTCGATACTTGCACACACACACACACACATGTAGCTGCCCACATTGCTAGCCGTACTCCTGCACGCATCCCTGCTCATACTCTTGCCAATGCCCAAACTCCTGCCCACACTCCTGTCTGCACACTTTGCCCACACTGCCCCTGCCCACACTCCCAGCCCACACTCCCAGCCCACACTCCCTGCCCACACTTCTCTGTCCACACCCCCCCCCCCCCACACTCCCCCTGCCCACACTCCCAGCCCATACTTCTCTGCCCACACTCTCCCCCGCCCACACTTCTCTGCCCACACTCCCCTGCCCACACTTCTCTACCCACACTCCCTGCCCACACTCCCCTGCCCACACTCCCCTGCCCACACTCCCCTACCCACACTTCTCTACCATGGCTCCGGGTTCACGGATATGTGTTTACTGGCTGACATTATGCCATCCTTGGTTAGTGCACCCACACAATTACTGGCCACAGTGTGAGCGGACCTAGCTTCCCCAGTTGACCCCCTTTCAGAAGAACAGTGTACACTCTGCCCACACTCCCCTGCTCACACTCCCCTGCCCACACTCCCCTGCCCACACTCCCCTGCCCACACTCCCCCGCCCACACTTCCCTGCCCATACTTCTCTGCCCACACTTCTCTGCGCGCATTCCTGATCACACTCCTGCCCACACTCTCCTGCCCACCCTTCTCTGCCCACACTCCCTGCCCTCTTTTCTCTGCCCGCACTTCTCTGCCCACACTCCCTGCCCACACTCCCCTGCCCACACGTCTCTGCGCGCATTCCTGATCACACTCCTACCCACACTCCTGCCCACACTCCTGCCAGCCTTTATGAACATGCTCATACTCCTCCCCTCACTTCTCTGCTCGCATTCTTGATTACACTCCTGCCAGCCTTTCTGAACACGCTCATACTCCTCCCCTCACTTCTCTGCTCGCATTCTTGATCACACTCCTGCCAGCCTTTCTGAACACGCTCATACTCCTCCCCTCACTTCTCTGCTCGCATTCTTGATCACACTCCTGCCAGCCTTTCTGAACACGCTCATACTCCTCCCCTCACTTCTCTGCTCGCATTCTTGATCACACTCCTGCCAGCCTTTCTGAACACGCTCATACTCCTCCCCTCACTTCTCTGCTCGCATTCTTGATCACACTCCTGCCAGCCTTTCTGAACACGCTCATACTCCTCCCCTCACTTCTCGGCTCGCATTCTTGATCACACTCCTGCCCACACGCCTGCCAGCACTCCTTCCCACAAGCGCGCGAAGGACTAAAGGGACCGTCACTTAATTTTTGCCGACTACCCGCCAAAAAATCTTTTCGTTTCACGTGTCAGACACGTCCGCGTGCGCCTACGATCACGACTAGCGACTACGTAGTCGACTCGCTACCTTTCACGTCAAGCAATCTGTTCACGCCACATGGCTGGATATCGATACTAGTTCGTCCACCAACAATTGAAATTAATGTTTCTCACTTGAACACTCTGTAGAGCTGTCGCTGTCGTGACAAGGCCGTGTATACTCCAAATCTACATGTAGGATGAAGAGTAACAGTAAATACTCCTGATAATGCTGATAATGAAGTTTGCTCCACAATCGCTCAGAATGCTAATGTGTGTCCATGGAGTACTAAAACGCCCAACGTGGATGAAACGGACAACAGCAGCGGCTAGAGCGTTCTCCTTCCTCGGTGAACACTGCTACAAGACACTATGCTTGATGATTCACCAAACACCAAGTTACCATCGTTGGGGGCCAATTCAGTAGTTTTCAGGCACCAGCGAGTTGTTCGTCCCGCAACTAACTTTGAGTCTTTCTTCAACACTTCGTAGAGCAGCCGCGCAAGGCCTTTCCTTCACGTTAGGGTAGCGATCCTTCCAAGATGCTATCGCCATTCATTGTTACTTTTTACTACTGTACAATGACACTCCAGTAGTGTTTCTCCGAAAATCAAGTCAACTGCCATTACTGAGTAAAGAGTCAGTACTCTCACAACAGACTCAGTAGCAGCTCGGCCTAGCGCCTAGCTGGACTTGTAAAAATTAAAAATAATTTGCAAGTCTTCAATCATGTATTGTTTGCTTGTACGCGCTATCGATATCCAGCCACGTGGCGTGAACAGATTGCTTGACGTGAAAGGTAGCGAGTCGACTACGTAGTCGCTAGTCGTGATCGTAGGCGCACGCGGAATTGTCTGACACGTAAAACGAAAAGATATTTTTGGCGGGTAGTCGGCAAAAATTAAGTGATGGTCCCTTTAGTCCTTCGCAGCGCCACTCCCTCCAACGCTGCTCAGTCCTGCCCCACTCCTCACAACTACCTACACTAGTACCTACACTACTGCCTGCACTACTGCCTACACTACTGCTTGCACTACTGCCTACACTACTGCCTACACTACTGCCTACACTACTGCCTACACTACTGCCTACACTACTGCCTGCACTACTGCCTACACTACTGCCTACACTACTGCCTGCACTACTGCCTACACTACTGCCTACACTACTGCCTACACTACTGCCTACACTACTGCCTACACTACTGCCTACACTACTGCCTACACTACTGCCTACACTTCTGCCTACACTACTGCCTGCACTACTGCCTACACTACTGCCTACACTACTGCCTACACTACTGCCTACACTACTGCCTACACTACTGCCTACACTACTGCCTACACTACTGCCTACACTTCTGCCTACACTACTGCCTACACTACTGCTTGCACTACTGCCTACACTACTGCCTACACTACTGCCTACACTACTGCCTACACTACTGCCTGCACTACTGCCTACACTACTGCCTACACTACTGCCTACACTACTGCCTACACTTCTGCCTACACTACTACACAATTGTCTGACACGTAAAACGAAAAGATATTTTTGGCGGGTAGTCGGCAAAAATTAAGTGATGGTCCCTTTAGTCCTTCGCAGCGCCACTCCCTCCAACGCTGCTCAGTCCTGCCCCCACTCCTCACAACTACCTACACTAGTACCTACACTACTGCCTACACTACTGCCTGCACTACTGCCTACACTACTGCTTGCACTACTGCCTACACTACTGCCTACACTACTGCCTACACTACTGCCTACACTACTGCCTACACTACTGCCTGCACTACTGCCTACACTACTGCCTACACTACTGCCTGCACTACTGCCTACACTACTGCCTACACTACTGCCTACACTACTGCCTACACTACTGCCTACACTACTGCCTACACTACTGCCTACACTACTGCCTACACTTCTGCCTACACTACTGCCTGCACTACTGCCTACACTACTGCCTACACTACTGCCTACACTACTGCCTACACTACTGCCTACACTACTGCCTACACTACTGCCTACACTACTGCCTACACTTCTGCCTACACTACTGCCTACACTACTGCCTACACTTCTGCCTACACTACTGCCTACATTACTGCCTACACTACTGCCTACACTACTGCCTACACTTCTGCCTGCACTACTGCCTGCACCACTGCCTACACTTCTGCACGCAGTTACACATTTTACCCAGGCGCGTAGCACCGCCGTTGGCGGTGGTCTGGCCAGGGGGGGGGGGGGGTTCTTGGGGGGGGATCTTCCCCCGGAAATATTTTGAAATTAGGGTGCAAAATCCTGCATTCTGGGCACCTTTGGCATTGTTTTACTATTTCCAAGAAAACAACTATGGACAGCATTTAAAGCCTGTTATCTCATCCACCATTGAATAGGTGTACAAAAACTCTCAGCAAAACTAGCGAGGAAAAGAAATGCAGGCAAGAAATAATAATATGTGTCAGATGGCGTACAATATGCATTGAAACAATAAGTATAATATTTATTACTGTGCATGGTCCCGCTGCTGTGTACGAAAGCCAAAGCCGCGGAAATAAGACAAGAAGAGCAATCACAGGCAAACTGCTAGCTGGGTTACTAAGCTGAAAGATCAGCATCCGTGAATGTGCCAAATATTGAGCGGCGGTGATCACTGCTGGTGACATCGACGAAGGCATTGCCCAACTACACCACAGACAGTGCATCTGTCCTGTCCTTGTGCGTCTGGAGGAGCATGACTGAATTTAACCGACTCTGGCCCATTGTGGAGCGGAGATAGGTCTTGATTCTCCGTATTGCTGAGAAGGATCTCTCGCTGATAGCGTTCGGAGCTGGGCTTACCAGAATCAAGCGCACCAGCTTCACAACTTCAGACAGAAGCTGCCTCTGAGATGTGGAGTAGCCCCACAAGAACTTCAGCACAGACCTAAACGTGACATCGTCATCAGAGGTCAGCTGCGTCTGAAGGAGGGAAAACTGGGTCAGAAGGAGGTTGGAGTCGAGATCCTCGCCGTACAACTCTGTCACTGCCTTGAACTCGTCTGTAGCGTCCACCCCTTTGGCACTCTTCAAGAGAAGGTTCTCCATCTGCGTGTATATGGCGAATCCCTTCTGATTAAACCGGGTCTGGATGGAGGACTTGGCACTGTCAAGCACTTCATAATACAGCTGCCGATAGCGGCCTTCCGGGGAGCTGGGGTGGTATGCTGGCTCATCTCCACCTTCATACCTCTGTGGACGTTTGCGTTTGCGAGGGAACTGCGGTTCAGAGACATCAAACTGGTGACTTTTTGCCACAGTAGCCTCCCAGAACATCGAGAATGAATTCTCTGTGCTCATCTTTGTGATTGTGTCCACCGTCAAACGTGCTATTTTCTGGGCTTCGGCAGCAAACATTGTTGAACTCTGGAGGGAAACAGAAAGGTTGTCACCATGTGCCAGGACAAGACGGGCCAAACTGATTCCAAAGATGGAGTTGAAAGTCTCCATTTGAGCCTTCACTCCGATTACGCGAGCACGCACGTCGGGGTCCACACTCCCAGCCAGAACTTCATCCCACAGTTCTTGCAAGACCAGATAGTTATTCAGGATGCTTTGCAGACTCTTGCCTCGAACTGTCCAGCGGGTCGGGCACAGCACACGGAATCCTGGTGTGTAGGGCGAGATCTCACCCTTCAGGACGTCAAACCGGGCATTTCGTTTTTGCGAGTACTTAATTAACTTGCTGATCTCGCAGGTGACATCGAGGGAATCTCTGGTCAGCACAGTCGTCTTGATGGTGTCGCACATTGCCAGGTTCAGAGAGTGCCCGTAGCAGTGCACAAAATTAGCCCTTGGCTCTTCATCTCCCAACTGCTTCGCGACACCAGATCTGTGACCAGCCATATTTGTGGCACCGTCGTAGCATTGGCCTCGGCAACAGTTGAGTCGGTTGGAGGTTGAGTCGCAGCATGCAGTCCCGGATAGCCGCAACGAGCGTATCTGCAGATATGTTGTCAATCTGGCACAAACCAACGAAATCTTCATGAGCTTCCAACTCCTGGTCAACCCACCGGAAGCACAACGCCAGCTGTTCCTTGTAAGATACATCTGCGCACTCATCGGCCATTACGCTGAACACCTCAGCAGTATGGATGGACTTGGCCACATTCCGGAGTATGCTATGCGACATTAGCTGAATGATTTCGTTCTGGATTTCGGGGGAGCAGTACTTATACACTCGTCGCTCCAGCCAGGCACGCAACTCGGGAGTATGTAGCTTCTGTAGTTGCAGCAGTTGCATAAAGTTCGACTCTGCATCGCCGTGGCCACGCAAGGGAAGACCTTGGCGACCCAAAAACTTCATGTTCTCTAGGATTCTGACGAACATTCGCCGATTCAGGGCTTTCTCCTTGGCATGGGCTTGACTTAGCGCCTCACCAACGTCCGGGACAGTCTGCGGTAGCACAAGAATCACCTGGACAGCGTCGATATGACACAGCGACTTTTCGTGACGGCGGAACCCCTCCGTGGCATCTTTCCAATTCTTGAAGCCCTTAGAAATGAAGGCCGAGTCCTTCGATGGCGCTTTCAGCTTCCCTTGCTGATCAGCAAAGGAACACAAATGGCAGGTCACAGAATCCGTCGACTCGTAGTGCAACCAGTTGAATTTATCGAACCAAGCTGGTTGAAACGGACGCTCAACGATCGATGTTCGCCCGAAACTTCGCTTTGGAAAAGCAAAGTTCCGAGGCTGATGAGCCTCCATGGTGTCCACACAAGCAGCAATCAGAGAGAAAAAGACACACAACTACGAGAATTCTTTGGAAAAAGTGGAACACAAAAAGCAGCGGATCAGCGAAGGCGTGCAAGCGAAAAGCGTCCGGGGATGCGCATCACACAGTGTACATGGTCGTAGGCCATACCGGTAGCCCTATATGCACGTACACTCGCATGTGTTACGCGTAGGGCTCCCTGGTGCAAGCCAGGAAGTCGTACGACCCCCTACGACTCCCTGGTGTAGGCGATGCAGCCTTGCAGGGCCTTCAAAAAAACGTGGTTGGGCGAAAAAGTGGTCATTTCATTAAGCAAGCAGTGTAGGGAAATTATTGCCACTGCCTACTGACCAGTACTTTGGCCGAGTGGTTGTGGGCTTGCCTGCAAATCCCAAGGGTCTGAGTTCAAGACCAGTGCTGACACCAGTGAGCATGTACTTTGTTAACAAATGCTGTGATGCAAGCGTGAACCACTTTACATCCAGTTAACTGCTCTGACAACCACTGTTAACTGTGTACTCACTACACTGTATTCGTAGTGAGGGTAACATAGATGCAGCTAACAAGGTTTGCAACTTGTCAGGCATTGCTTTTGATACTAAGTTACCCTTGCTGTCACGTGCTACATCTGCCACCCTGGTATCTCAGGCATGGTGGTGGCCTTGTACAAGCAAAACTTCCTAAACTGGTTGTGTTTCTCAACACAATTGCATAGGCGATTTGGTTGCGTATCTGCAATCTCTACTTTCTTCTGATTATGTACTTCAAATAGGGAAATGTGTTTTAAAGAGGATCTGGGAACTACACAGCTCAATAAGACCTTTCTGGTTTCTAGGGATGACGACACCGCCACATGAAAATACCACATGAAAAGACCACATGAAAAGACCACATGCAAAGGCGTCAGATGCCGCTTTTTTACGGATGGAGAGGAAAATTCAGATCCACCAATTACAGTATATGGGCAAAGGTGAAAACCCACTTTCTGCATCAATGTTGCCCTGTTTTCCACACCTCGTGTTCCCAACTCACTGTGGTGTACAGCACAATTGAAGCAATCCTCTTCAAGTCAGGACTTGATCATGATACATATACCTGTCATTGCACAATCATGGTCTGAGAACTCACTCACTGGGCCGGGATGACTCATTATGTTGGAAATGGTGCAGTACATTTCACTGAACTTTACCTAGGACTGATTCAACGGTTCTATACTTCATTGTTGAGTAATACATGCGTAGAACTTACAGTGGTGAAGTGGATAGGAAAATCCCACAGCTTCCATGACCAGCGTGATGCTCAGCATGGCCTGATACATTCAACAGGAAAAAACAGAAAACAGATTTTAAAACTATCCCTGTCTCTGTGCAGAAGTATTCGATTATAGGAATGGGTATCAAATCATCAAGGTTAGCATAACACATACCTAACCAGTCATGTGTTCATTATCCACAGAGAAAATAATTCATTTTGTCGTATAGAATCCCATGCAAACAGAAGTTCTCTTTGAGACCTGAGCAAGCCCATGGATCAAGTTGTGTTGCAAGATAGTGTGAAGTAGACATTTGCACACAAGTAAACTAACACTAGCATACAGGGAGCACACATGGTGTATTGAGCACATTCAACTTTACCAGCATCATCTTGGCGAGCAGCAGTGGACTGACTGGCTTGATCAGAGTGTGACTGGCTGCCAGAAGAAACGCTCTCCGCGGAGTCTGACTGAACAGTCGAGGAAATAGCTCCGGCAGAGACCGGCTGGACGGCTTGCACCCGACGCTTCCGGAATATATCTGGGAAATCGGTCGCCAGCTGCAGTGTGGAGAGTAACAAATATACAAACAAGCAACAAACATGGCTCTGATATCAACATCAGCTATTGTCAATATCATCCACACCACTGAGAGTGAAATCAATGAGAGGTACACGGCCGAGAATACATTGTGCATTGCGTAATGGTAGGTGACAGATGTATTGTTGAGTAAAATGTTAGAACAACTTGCATACATCAACAGACACACATAGGCAGAGAGGGGGGAGAAGTAGAGAGAGACTGGGAGAGAGAGAGAGAGAGAGACTGAGGGAGACTGAGAGAGAGACTGAGAGAGAGGGGCGTGTGCAACAGGCCATCACACTCACCAGTTCTTCATGCTGCCGTAGCACCTTGCAGATCTTTGCAAAGCGCTGGGCGTTCGGTGATTTCACTAGCAGCTGGTGAAGCTTGGTCGAGGTGTGATGGTAGTCGGTAACTGCCCAGCTGTGGACCAATGCTGCTGCAGCGTGTAGATGATTACTGTGCCCACGTGATGAAGATGATGATGTAAGGCCCAGGCAGGTGGCTAGCGCAGGCAGGTCGGACTCACCAAGGCTTTCTCGGATGGACTCAAAGGACTTTGCAGAGAGCAGTGAAGCATGGTTGACCGGCCATTCGAGAAGAAGCGGGGCACGATCAACGTCACGTTGGCTAGTGGAGAGATGACCCTTTGTTGCTACGGATGATCGGACGTCCTCTGCGTCGTACACAGCGAAATCAAACTTGTCGCTTGGCTCGTGGAGGTGCTGACGAATGGAAGCAGAGCTGAGGATGCTTGTGGAGTAGCTAGTACCCGGGCTATACTGTGCTGCTAGGTCACCAAACACCTTGCGCAACAGAGCCAGCAGACAATAGCCATCTAGCGTATCTTCAACGGGCGCATGGACAACAGCGACAGCTTGGCGCAGGCTGTCCGTGACGGAGATGCAACCACGGGCTGTAGAATGGACAGGAGCCACTACCACCAGATTCTTCCAGAGCTCAGCAGGAATGCCGTGAAGCTCGTGGAAATAGGCGTACAGCTCTGTCTGTAGCCGGATAACAAGAGCAGTGGAGAAGCAGTGCTGAGTCGTGAAAGAGACTCCTGCGCACGCCGACCGAGATGATGAATCTTTCTTGGCCAGTGAGCCGAGGCAGTTGTCAGCGGTCGGAAGACGGCTGGGTGCCAGGATCCTTCCTTTCTCCTGGAGCAATACACCTAGTTGTATCACCATCTGCAGCAGCAGAGGGCCCTGACCTTCTGCTCCCTCGCAGCTGTTAAGCTTGCCAAGGACTTCCTGGACCTTCGCAACACCATCTATGAAGTGCAGCATATCTTCGTCATCAAGCCCAGGTGGTGCGAAAATGAGACCAATGACCTTGGAGAGCAACCAGTTGGGTCGGTTAACAATGATGTCGTCCAGCTCAGGTGATGAGAAAGAAACAATCTAGAAACAAAAACACGATATGCAAACCCATACACACAGCAACACACATAGTTGTAAGCCGATGCACTGTACATGCCCAAATATGGATGCAAACACATTCCACTGCATGCGCAGACAGAAGGATAGTAAAAAGGCCAAACACCTCCAAAATAAAACATAACAAAGCAAGTCAACCAGCCAATCCTCGACGTGTCATGACAGCACACTTTGCCTGACCCCACATTGAGAGACAATGCGAAACTGTTAAATGAACCATCCTAAGTTTTAAAGAAATGGATGTAAGGGACACGGGTAGAGATGCCCTGGCTTGAGTTGCACGGAAATCAGTGCCGTATCCTCTCATGGACACAAATACTATCGTCTGGTGCCAGCCAAAGCAGGACTATGCAGCACATCCTAATAGAAACTCACTGTTGAAGATCAATCCATCAAAGGTGCAAAGCACAATGCACCCATTGTCAATCATTTCTTTATCAGCCTAAAGCCAGCAATCTGTAGGTGATATCCCCTGCTGTCAAGCCCCAGCTAGCCATACTGTGCACAGCAACACACTAAACCTGTTCCACAATTTTCACTTCACCTTGAAGTTTCCAGCAGCCTTACACTTACTAGTATCGGTGTATAGCTGGTCTACCACTGAATAATAGATAATAAACTACAGCTAATTGCAGGATGGGCATCGTAATGTTCTAGATATGGGCTTTAAAAGAAGTAGGAACAAATCAAACCGGTTGCATCTTTCCCTCAAACCAACGAATAAGAACAAATCTAGTTTAGGGGTGGTTGCAAACGTTTTTTTGTTGTTCCTGAGACGAGCATCATTCGTTGGAGGGGTTGGGGGGGGGGCAAAAATCGCAAGTCGACCGACACTAGGGTCAATTCATCGGAAACTGTCCCGCTGGCTTTTGAAAGTTCGATCTGGGCCGAATTGAGGATCAAAAACCCACTTTAAATCTCAAGAATCTCATTCTTGGTTTGGGATTTGCTTCTCCACATATTTTGCCATGGCATACCTATTCAAATTTTGTAAACCTGGCTGAATTTCTATTTATGGATACGAGTTAAGACACTTTCTGACTGTATAAAGTATCATGTTACAGTGATGGAGAGTTACTCTCGTATCCATAATGCCTTTTTCCTTTCTACATTTATTTATGGCTCAACATCCGAGTTTCAAATTGCACACCTGATAAGCCGTCAAGAACCGTACGGCGAAACGTACGTCGTATGAAACAACTTGTTTTGTAGTCAACTAGTCCATCACAATGTCATGCATGAGGAGTACTGTAGGAGTTTGGCTTTCGGCTTGTACAATTCGTTTTCGCAAAGCTTTCCATTTCTTTACTTATCTTTAATATTCATGACTCACCCAAGTTGGGTGGTGTGATGCTTTGCTGCTTCGAATTGTAGTTAGACCGCTTTGTCAAATATCGTACTGGTCTTGTCATCGTCCAGTAACAATCGACATTCTTTGTTCCGTTGGGACTGTAGCTTTTGCTCGTTTTCGTTGCGCTTGCCTTCCCCTCTTTGGTCTTTTCGTAACCTTGAACCTTCCAAGTTGGAAGGCTGTAGGCTAGCGCTACGGAGATGTGTTGAAGCTAGGTGTCAGGACGTCGAATGTCTCAGTACGTGTCAGTTTTGTGCCTAGTTATTGCACTTTCTGACTGTATAAAGTATCATGTTACAGTGATGGAGAGTTACTCTTAACTCGTATCCATAATGTCTTTTCCTTTCTACTTTTATTTATGGCTCAACATCCGAGTTTCGAATTTCTATTTCCCTGTTCTTGGGCTTTTCTGCCCTCAAATGTGGCAAGGAGTTATTGCACGGGTCACACAATGCAGGATGTACTGTTTTCATGATATCTACAACTATGTGTGGGAGACACTAAAAAGGTAGGGTGCCAGTTTCCAATAAATCTGGAAAAAATCACAAGTCGACCGATACTATATATATGTACATGAGTACATAAACATGCATGCAATTTTCATCACCCAGCATAGCAAGCTGCGTTTGTTTCATAGGGAGTGGAGGGTGTGCGAGTAAGAAATGAGCGATGTTCATTTCAGGGACGATAAAACACTTTTGCGACGACCCCTTAGAGATGTACATGACGTAGATGACATACATCATAACATGAAATACATCTACTGAAAGTAAATTGAAATTACTCAATCTGCAGAGTATGTACATACCAGCCCATACGCATTGAGGATCTTGCGATATCGACGGATTTGTTCGGTGTAGATGCTATCTTCATCGTCATCATCGTCATCATACTCTACGTGGCTAGCAGCACAAAGCTGTCGAGAGAACTCCCGACTTGTTGAGAATGGCTCTCGGATGTTGTCATGCAGTTGTGCCAGTACTTCCTCTGCCTGCCCGAGCACTTTGGGTTGCTTGGGAGATTTCTGAACATGCACATCAACGCAGTGGGTAAAGTACTCTCTGTTCACAAACCTGATTAAACCTTTTTATCGTTAATGACGTATGTATACGTCACTGAGAACGAACCCAATCCACTAATGACGTACTTCCTCCGTAAGCTAAACTTCATTGCATATTTACAGTTCAGTATAAAGCATTCTATGGCTACAAACACACTTTGAAAAGTGGAAAACACAGCAGCATATGAGAGATTAGTTATTTACAGATGTCATACAGCTCGTTTCAAAGCAGTCCAGCTTCACTCTTCGTCTGAATCTCATGACGACTCCATGATGATATCGTGTCTGCATCCGCGCTGACTTTCGTTTTTGTTCCGCAGCCTTTACAAGTTGCCAAAACACTAGAAATCGCCAAGTTCTTTGCCCGAACTGTGAGCTTGATGACCTCCACAGTGGCGCTGTTAGTTGTTGTCTCTGCCACTCTCCAGAATGCCGTGATGGAAAGAGACATACAGACACAGCCAAACGCTCCTCATCTTGGCAACGGAGTATTCATGCCAACATATTTCCACAGCTTGCAGAAGCTTCTTTCTGGTTTCCTTCGTCACAAGTGACAAGTCTGCCTGCAGGCTGTGGAAGAATACCAAGTCGTCCAAGTTGAGATTGGGACTTTGAGTCGGCTGAATGGCAACCCAAATGTCAAACCCTTTTGCTTTCCCCTGCGCTGCTAACACACGTGCATTGATTTTGGCTTCGTGCGGACGTGCACCATCGTGCTGGTACGGCATGCAGTGGCTGGCCGAATTCTTCGAGCAGCGCATCTTTTAAACTGTTTCTCATTTTCGCACTTCGGTGTCGTCTGGGCCTGGATAGGGTTGTGTTCTGGTGCCGATTTTCGAAATAACACCACACATATATGTATATTATATCGGGCCTGATTGGAATTTTTATTTTCATTGCTATTAGGTTCGGCCTCATTTCCTCTGTGCTGCGTTGATGCGTTCACAAAGAACGAAACACTGTCCGCAGATTGAGGATTTCGCTCCTGCTCTTGTAGTAGTTGAGCACTCTCATGTGGGGTAGTGCCTTTGCTGTTTGCATTACGCAGAGCTCACTGACTTGTCAGTTTGAGCACTCCGTGGCAAGGTACGTTCGGGCTTGATTGGAAATTTTTATTTTCATTGCTATCAGGCTCAGCCTCATTTCCTCTGTGCTGCGCTGATGAGTTCACAAAGAACAAAACAGCATGCTGCCCGCAGATTGAGTGTATAATTATTATATTTTATACTTTTGATTAAGTTTTCCATCAGCCCAATTGGTATTGTTGCTAACGGCTTTTGTTTTTGTCACTCCTGTCAGTTAATTGTATTGTATTACTCTTCAGACATCAATCCTGAATGGCGTAAGCGAAAGTGGCACCCGCCACCTTCGTGGACATGCGTTTAATAATGTTGAGTGACTCATCTATCAGGTCGCTACAGCCAGAAGAAACGTACAAATACCACGGTTTCCTTGAAGCTGGAGGTGTTGACCATTCAAATATGAAGACGAAAATCCTGCAGGAGTACAAGTGGCGTGTGCGACGAGTACTCCGCGCAGCTCTAAACGGCCACAGCATCATCACAGCCATCAACACCTGGATTGTGGCTTTGATATGGTATAGTGCTGCTATCTTGGCATGCATGCAAGACGAGTTGAAATCTGCTGACCGAAGAACGCGCAAGCTTATGACCATGCATGGAGCTCTCCATCCACGCGCTGATGTAGCCAGTATGTACGTCAGTCGCAAGGAGGGTGGACATGGTTTGCAAAATATTCATGATGATGTCACAATGGAGAAAAGCAATCTGCAGCGTTATGTGCATCAGTCAGATAAGGAGCTCCTGAAGGTAGCTGCGCCCATTCTGTGGCCACATCTGAATGCCCCACCAGACTCCTCACAGGTAGTGAAGTGTCGCTTCAAAAAGAACACCTCTTGTCGTGGACCCAGAAACCCGTGCATGGACAGTTTGTCCGGCCAAAAGAAAAACTGACCAAGGAGAACACCTGGAACTGGCTGACAAAGGCTGGTCTCAAGAAGACCACAGAGAGACTGATCACTGCGGCACAAGACCAGGCCTTAGGAACTAACTTGCTCAAGGCCCAAATCTTCTATCAGGGCAGACAGAAGCCCCCTGTGTCGAATGTCTGGGAAGGCAGGCGAGTCGGTTGCCCTTATCCTATGCGAGTGTTCGAAGCTCGCTGGAAGGGATTACTTCGAGCGTCAAAATCGGCTGGCCTCTCTGGTCCACTGGTCGCTCTGTCGTGTACATGGGATACCATGTGAAGACAAGTACTACAAGCACCACTGTGATCCTGTGCTTGAGCATACCAAGACTAGTGTAACGGTACAAGAGCATCCTGCACCCGAGGATAATGTGCCTGGAGCTAGAGATACTTCAGACTCCAAAATCTCTCCACAGGACAAGAAGATCAAGATTCTGTGGGATTTCACCATCCGGTGCGATCGCTTCACTAAGCACTGACGGACTGATATTGTTCTGGTTGATGGACCTGCCAAGAAGGCCCTGATCATTGACATTGCTGTACCTGGTGATCCACGCGTTGTTGAAAAGGACATTGAGAAACGTGCCAAGTATCAAATTCTTGCTCGCGAAATCCATCGACTATGGCAAGTTGAGACTCCGATTGTTCCTGTGGTAGTTGGGACTTAGGGCACGTTTCCAAACAGTTGCCAGGATATCTTGACACAATTGGTATCACCAGCTACTGTTCTATGTCTGAATTGCAAAAGAACGCTCTCCTTGGCTCGGCAGCTATCCTGCATAAGGTCCTTGCTTTGTTATTTAATATCCATATTTATTATGATGCATGGCTCCACCTTTGGCTGCTGGTTTCTAGCTTGGTGGGTGCCTATCTCTAGCCTTCGGCCGAGTGCTCATGGATAATTGGATGATTCAAAGGATCAGACGGGGAAGTGAACTGCCTAAAAAGATAAAACATCACCAGACCCCCAGGACCTTGTCCTGGTGGCTGAGTAGATCAGACTCACAGCCACGCGCTCTTGGACCAAAAATCACTTTCGCTGATCCATATTTTCCCTCGTGTCAGGCCATGATCCAGGCACTATCCCTGCAGCTTGCCACTTTCTATGCCGGACATTATTTTGTGAAGGTCATTCTTGGAACATCGTATAAGGTTGCTTTCCAGTTTGAATAGTTCTTTCATAACCAAATCCATGGCACAATTCACGGGAGAGGTGCAAGTGCAGATGACCACAAATGATTATAAACTCTGTCTAATGCACTGGTGTGCATTGCAGTTCTATCTCTGTCTCTCTTTAACTCCCACCTCACTCCCTGTCTCCCTAACTCTTTCTCTCCATCGATCTGTCCATCTTTCTCTTCATCTCTTTCTGCCTTTCTTTATCTCATTCTCTTCTCTCTTGTTTTTTCTCTTTCTCTTTCTCGTTCTCATTATCTATCTCTTTATCCTTCTCCCTCTTTCTCTCCATCTTTCCATCTTTGACTCTCTCTATCACACTTTATCTTTCCTGATCCCTTTACTATCCCCTAGTTTCTCCACTAGTTGTAATTGAAATCTGGTTTACAGTTTTACTTACGCTCAGGATATCTCTGCAGACCTCAGAAAGTTTTACTCTCAAGCGATCGAAGTCTGCGTCATTGACGGTGGCATTGATAGCAAAGCGTCCTCGAAAGTGGAGTTTATCACCAAACTCCTTCTCGACACTACTATAGCTTGTGGCAAGCTTTGCAGCAAGTTTTCCATGATCCTCTCTCTTGATCTCGTCGCGGAAGGTCGCAATGATCATGACATTGAACGGCTGGTCTGTATTTGCAACAATAAGAGATGGGAAACGCAAACAAAAATATATATAATTATATTTGTGGTGAGGAGATTTGAGGAAAGGTTTGAGATTTGAGGAAAGGTGATTTTAAGCAACACACTCTCCGCAATATCATAGTATGCAGCTAACAAATTGGTCAAAAGAGTGTTTTAAAGCAATTGTGCTCATGCTACTTCAAATGAATTGGCGACCGATAGTACGTACTAGGGTGTTATGAGCGGCCTCGAATATATATCTCGTGAGTGAGGATGGAACCATGCCTGACCTCCATGTGTTCGGTCTCGGGCTGAGAACCTTGGTAATCTACTGGAGAAGTGGCTGCACAGGCCAGGCAGAAGTGTGCGCTGCTGTTTCTGCGACAAATGAAGAAGAAGCAGCCAATGCCGACCAGGCTGATTTAATTATCAGATCTCTGAGGAGAAAAGTCTGGAGATGGAGAAGATAGATGCGAGTTCTCTGAATGTTTCCGAACATCTTGGGCTCCATCGGGCATAGACAATTTTGGTATGGACATAGCTTATTTCGGACGTTGCTCAATTGGAGAAGAGAGCAGAATATTTGAACCACGGGCACGGCTCTTTCATTCAAGGCTCTCCACACTAAAGGATCTGAACATTTTCGATCCAGAAGCTGTTTGTTGTTTCTCACTTGTAAGTTGTGGACTCATTGTTGCAGCAAAGATGAGGCGGGACTATTCCATGCCCTAAAATAAAATAATTAATTGCTTTCTCAAACACCAAGCTCACTTTCCCTGACTGCATGTATGTGCACGTGACAAGTCTGTGGACTTGTGCCACGTGATTCATGTAGCACGACAGTCCGGGTGTCCAGTAGACTGGTAGTGGTACATAACTTTATGCACAGACCATAGTGCTCTGTGTGGTAAAACTGTTAACCACTGCACACACACAGCGTGAAAAGTCCAACTCTGGAAAGTTCGGAATAACTTGAAGATTTGTATAATGTCCACTATCCTTGTACGCGCCCATGTGCCATGTATCGACACTCTTATCTCATTTTCTAGACCACCTCCGTGTGAACATACATGGGCAAAAGGAAAGACCCAGTACATGGGGCAGTGCATGTTCAGCTTGATGTGCAGTAACAATTCGTTAGTACAGTGTACAGTGTAGTGCACAGCACTTGTGAATAAAACTGTTCGTTCATGTGAAAAACAGTCTGATTTCACGTATCCAAAATATCGCCGGGACCACATACGCTCCCGGGCCCATATTGACGCACATGTGCTCGACCTTCACCAATGTTTCAACCCAAGGACTTATTACAGGCATTTACCATGGACAGAGAGATGAATATCTAGGGCTGAGTCAGGTAGCATTTTCTTCAGGGATCGGGTTTGGGTAGTTTTCCACGGGTAGCACGGATACCCTATTGGGTAATGTTTCCATGGTGACAGCACAATGCACTCCTTCCCTTACACACTGGATAGACATGCAGAGTACTACATGAATTTGTACATGTGCACTGTACATGATGCCATCAGCGACTTCGGGTTTTCAGGTACTATTCTGTACCCGTCTACACGAGATCCTCACGGGCTGCATGCGTATCCGACTACCCATGCACACCACTATAAATAACACACACACATAAACACACACACACACACACCTGCATGCACACACACACATACCTGCATGCACACACACAGTGCCCTCCCTGCACCAGTAAACAGAATCAAACACATACCCCTATCATTCATTCATTCATGTAGTGTCGTGGACATGGAAATCCGGTCACACTTCTAGCGGCCCCAGGGCACTCGCCATGCGGCCATGGACAAGCGGAACACACATGTATTTATGCTCTGCAGAGCGCTGGTCGTATCGGATCAACATGTGCACTGCACGCAGCGTTCTGTTCGCGCTGAGGGCGCCGGCCCTGGTCAAACAACTGAATTTCCATGTCTGCTACAGTACATGCCGACATACGGATCAACAGACACAAACAAAATTTCACAAAAATGCATTTGAGAAAATATCGCACTGACCTGATGTTACCGATGGTGGCCTCCGGCTCAAAAACCGACCAACTGTGGTGGTTATGCTTGTTGTAATCAGTTTCTCGTCCCATTTACTATTGACAACAGCAAGACCGAGGCTTGGTACTGATGTGGATAGGCAGAAAATGTCGTGTGTCGCTGAAAACGCGTCCTGCCCAGCGAGATCTTTGATACGCAAATGCTGACCAAGATTATCAGTGAAGTTGGACATCTGGATGCCTCGGGTTCGTTTCGAGTCGTTTGATGTGCCGTTGTTTCCTTCTTCTCTCAATGTCTTGATCAGTGTCGACTTCCCAACAAGTTGTTCCCCGCTAACTAGAACAACTAGAGTGTTAGCGTCCACTTGGCCTTCGGAATAAAATTCCTCCAGCTGAAGGTAAGTCTGCGTATATATAATACACACAAGAACAACATGGTTGATAAATATGGTGGTAAAGACACACCTGGCAATATGGCGGTAAACACACGCCTGCCCACACACGCTCTCTAGGCTGCAAAGTTCTGGCACAGAGCTCTCCTTCTCACCACCACCACCATCAGTTCGCGCCTGGCGCCTGGTCGATGCATGGCTGGCGGTATCCGGCAAAGCAGGCTGGTACATCAAGTAGCGCATGGCACATAGATGATGACACAGCAACGACATAGCTCGATTGCGACGTACGTTTCGTCCCCGCTGGACTCATCAGGCAATCTTCTTCTTGGATGTCTTCATACGGAGCTTGACTCGGGAGAATGAAGCTGAAGACACCACTGCAGCTGTACTTATGGTTGATAAATATGAGTCAAGCTCCGAGTCAAGCTCCGTATGAAGACATCCAAGAAGAAGATTGCCTGATGAGTCCAGCGGGGACGAAACGTACATCGCAATCAAGCTATATCGTTGCTGTGTCATCATCTATGTACCATGCGCTACTTGATGTACCAGCCTGCTATGCCGGATACCGCCAGCCATGCATCGACCAGGCGCCAGGCGCGAACTGATGGTGGTGGTGGTGAGAAGGAGAGCTCTGTGCCAGAACTTTGCAGCCTAGGGAGCGTGTGTGGGCAGGCGTGTGTTTACCGCCATATTGCCAGGTGTGTCTTTACCACCATATTTATCAACCATAAGTACAGCTGCAGTGGTGTCTTCAGCTTCATTCACACAAGCACAACAATTAAAGAATAGGGGGCTCGTGAACTTACAACCACTTTATGCAGTTGCTATTCACACTTGGCGCATGCGCTGGATGAAAATTCTGTATTAGTGACGTCAAAAAATTGTGACGTTTCGGGCCACTCACTGTGAATAGCAACTGAATAGAGGGGTTGTCAGTTGATAAACCCCCTTTCCTTTATAACGCAGTTGCGTGATGCCCACCATTTTCTTAGTAAAGAATAATAATTACTGGATATAAGTATTGAAGGCAACTTTTCCTTAAAGGCTGTGAAGATGATAATGCTCCATAGTTGGCAGTGTTCATCTGTTTGACAGTAAAGTATGTGAGGAGCACATTTCTTAAGTGGAGATGAATATTTTTATGAATCGGACAATGTAAATGAGAAGATCAGCTTGTCCACATGCTATATGGTTCTTTCGGAAAGCGGCATCCACTGCACACATGTACTTGCCTGAATTTAAACACAAGCAGGAAATGAATCTATAAAGATTCTTGCTACTTTCAACACTAGGATGGTGGACATCGAATGAGTCGGTGATAGCTTTGTGAAACGTATTGAAAGTACAGACGACTTTTTACCATATGCACGGATTGAAAACGAAACTTCATCCATTTTTAACAATTACTATGTACTTCGTCCGGCTCATCGCAATTGTCGCTTATCTTTCGCCACTAAGAACAGGAGTTTTTTACCGCTCTGTGAAATTTCAAACAGACATAGTGAGGAAGCATGATACATGAATACTCTCTGCCACAAGAAAAAAATGTCAGCAATGGAATCAGGTGAAGCGAGTCGAAGAAAGGAAGCAAGGTAAGCAAAATGCACGAAATAAATCAGCGAAGGAGCGCGTTCTTGCACTCACACTAGTAATACAGGTCCAAAGTTCACTCAACTGGTGTCTAGCTGCTGGCGTAGACTGGTAGAGTATCTCTTGCGTTCTCAGCCTATCGTATGGCAGCAATGGGAAAGAAACAGTTGTGTCTGTCACTTCGGTGCTTGAAGGAATCGTGGGCAGTGTGACCTGTGTGTCACCACAGCGTGTTTCAACAAAGCCTTCAAATGAGGCATACAGGCCTCTCCAGACAGGTGTCATACGCTCCTTGGATAGGCGGGCCACGACTCTTGTAATGCGGCTGCTAGGTCCACCAAGAGAAGGAACAACCAACAGGTCGGCCGGGCACATCGCATCAAAAACACCTTTCTTCTTCATCATGATGCTTATACTCTTCTGCCGTGCACTCGTGCCTGTCACGCTCTCCGCACCAGGATGTCAGTTGCACCTGCTACAGTTCCGGTCTTCGGGTCGCTGAGCTTGGCTTTTGGCAACACAGACAGTGAATGGCCAGATTCCCACTTCCCAAAAAAGTCGAATACATCGCGATTCAAAGCGCTAGTCGCGATCATTTTTTCTTTGGTGCCTACTTTGATCTTGCCATCACGACCTCCCAAGCAAAAGTAAGTTAGATATCGTGATTGGACTGGGTTTTACCTGTCAAAAAGTTCGTCGGGGATAAGCGACAATGGCGATGAGCCGGACCAAGTACATAACATCAGTGAATGACCTCAATTGCCACGATACTCTCCATAGCAACGGGATACTTGGAATACTCAGTATAAAAGATAATAAAGACTTAACCTGAAGAGCTCGGATCTTTAGCCAATGTAATCATGTAAAAAATAAAGAAAGGGCAAAATGTTACAAGTGATAACCAACTGTCCCACAGTGCAGCCACGTAATACACCGTCAGCATATGCGACAACAGGGCACAAAACTGACAAGGAGTACTGAGACATTCAACGAACTAACACCTCACTCCAACACATCTAAGAGGTGTAAACCAACAACCTTCCAACTTGGGAGGCTCAGGTAAGGAAATATCTAAAGAGGGGAAGGAAAGCGCAATGAAGATGAGCACGGGCTTTGTCCCACAGCAACAAAGAATGCCGAACGTTACTGTATAAAGACTTCACTAGTAAGACAATTGGACGTAACGGTTTTACTACAACCCAACGACGCAAAGTAACAGACCACCCAAATTGGGAGGTTCAAGTTTATTATTGTAAACATGGAAGGGGAATCTGAGCATTCCTTGTCAGTTTTTAAGCTAAGTACTCCTGGTCAGTTTTGTGCCCTTTGTCACACTTGCTGACGGTATAATTATCTGGTTACACCGGTGGAAACTTAGTCATAACTCATAACATTATGTGCTTTCTATTACCTGAAGAAAACGACGGTTGTGAGGGTCAGCAGTCTCCTTGGCAGCGGCACGTCGAATAATTTCCATTACCTACATTGCCAATAGAACACACAGGAAAAACAATGACATATGTACAAGTAGGAATAGGGAAGAGGACAGGTGGTTGGTAGAGAATCGTCCGTAGAGAAACAGGGTTGGAGTGAAGTGAGGTGCCAGGAAAGACGGTCACGCACAGGGTAGCTTGAGCAGAAAAAATACTTTTCTTTGAGGCTATTCACTTAGGGCTTGTTCGACTTGTCATGCTTTTTCCGAAGAGTTTGGAATAGCAACGTCACGTTGTGCGTGGTCATGGTCAATCTTATCGGACGTCATCGACAATTCAACTGAAAACTCTAAAATGATAGAAACCGTTCCAATGGGACGCTTCAACTAATCTCTTTAAAAAAATTGTTCGAACAGTTGATGAAGATAATTCTAACGCCCCCTTAACTTAATACCACACGAAGCAGAAAACCAGAGACCAAAACCTTTCTCGCAACTCCGAGTTTCGTGTTTCAAAAAACACTCATCAGACGATAAAACATAATAATACTATTCGCTAGTTATATAGGGTATCTGTAATGTAGGCTAAGGCAGTGCTGCAACCACGAAGCTTGAGGAGATAACATCAGCGCTGGAATACACTGTGCCTAATATGAATGCAAGTGTCATGGCTGAGGTATATTGCTATAACCAAGATGGGAGATACATGTAGAACCGACGCAGGAATTAAGTAGGTTTCAGTGGTAGTTGTGTCACGCCAAAGGGCTGGGTAATATGTGTTACATAGCAGATACCAGTGTGGGTAATGGCGCAATATGTGGTTTGGTGTGAGAGTGAAAGAGTGAGGGTGTACATGTGTGTGCACGAGAGAGAGAGAGATAGAGTGTGTGTTTGTGTGTGGTTGTGTGTGTGTGTGTGTGTGTGTGTGTGTGTGTGTGTGTGTGTGTGCGTGCGGGCGTGCGTGCTTGTGTGCGTGCGTGCGTGCGCGTGTGTGTGTGGGAACACCGCATATCTTATCATGTGACCCCGGTGTAGTTTGGGAGCGAGAATTTGCTGGCATGTCTACACTTCGATAAGCTCGCTTCTCTTGTTGAGGCATGTTTCTCTATCCGCGATTATGATCGGAACTTCTCCGAGAGGCAAAGTTGGCACCTCTTGCTGATGTTGCTGTAGGCTTGTGCTCGTTCTGAAATACTCCACTGGATCGAGTAGTCTTCCTGTCTCTCCGTCAATTTCCAGACATACTTGGATAGTTCGGTGCTCTTTCGTCTCTGCTCGTGGTTGAATGTGTCCTTGTGGTTTCCGTACCGGGTCTTGAACGTTGGCTCTGTCGCTCTGAAGTACACACGTGCTGGGTTAACATTACGGCGTGTCACTTCGGCTTTGTAGACCAGCTGCAAAACGAAGTGTATTGTTGACTCTGACAAGGAAAAGTAGCGGTGACAACTTGTCACTCCAAACGACAAGCTTCTCCTTGCGCCACCACAATTTTTCGGTGCAACATTTGATGCAAAAAGTGACTGTTTGGCATGTAGTTTTTGAACTTTACCGCAAGAGGAATGATGAAATCACATGCTTCATGATGTAGAATAATGATTTCCGGTTCACAACACAATGCACACGATCACGATCGTTCCTGATGTGCTATTCGAAACGGACCATAATGGAGGAGGTAAGACACATCATATTTCCTGCATGCTCTGCTCAGAACCCGCAGCCACTATCGTTACAGCGCTAGCAGTATTGCATTGGCAAGACTTCTTCGAGATATGTCCTCTTGCAGTGAGAACAGGTGCAGTCAACTTCGCTTTTAACGACACTCGGTGGGCGTCAAAAAGGTGTCCTTATTCGCAAAATGTCGTTATACCCAAAGTCTCACTATTATGTATTACATGGGATGGGACTTTGTTCTGGGCATGGAAATTCTGTCGTTATTCACGAATTTTCGTTATATCAGCAGTCGTTATTGGCGAAGCTGTCTGTATGCATATTTCACCCTAACCTCGAACACCCCGAACATGGGTCAACAGGAACCGTGGCTAGTTTACATGCTGATGCTTGATGTAGATCTGCAACAGCAAGGAATGACCATCGAGCATGCCATCAAGGTCGCTTGGAGTTGACCAGCACAGGCTACACTGGTTCCATGTGGTACGTGACGTGCCCACATCACATATTTCTTACGTGATGAACAACGCAATTTGGCCCCTACTTACCCTAGTCTCTGTGCTGCATGTTGAGAAAAAGTCCCGGTTGGAAGGCCTACAACGCGACCAGCGTGCTCTTAAGCCGGGCATCAAAATGCATGTGATCCAATCTAAATATCAACAGGTGATCCTTGTAAGTGCACGTACTCTTTATCAAGGTGACTCAGAATAACTGATTAACCGTGATCTACGAGACCTGGAAATCTGGTGTCACGGGGCTCGTGATTTGCACAGTCGATCTACACCCCAAAGGAAACTTACCTGCAACATTTGAGCGAAATTGGAGAGAGCGACTTGCACAAAATTTCTGGTTTTCTCTGATATGTTCTCTTTTACTAAATATTATTGCTGGAGTGAGCGATTCAGTATGAGCTAGAACGTCACTGCCCGTATCTCAGGTTTTCCGTTATCTCAGGACAGCTCGTCTGCCATGTATTATACCGCTTTTTGAAGAAATGTTTTTGGCACATATTACGCATATTCAGGATAAAATATAATGTCTTGATGAAAATGAGTGAATTGCACAGGTGGGCAGTGATAAATTGACACTAGTGTACACGAATAATAATTCAAACCCCCAAATTGGAAGCAGTTGTGCCATAGGAACTCAAGCTAAAGGTGCCCGGTAGAGAGGCGTGCCAGTATCTGAGGCGTCCGGATAAGAGGCGTTTGAGTGTACTCATTGCTATTAATATTTGAAACTATTGCATCCTTTCCGCAGTCTTAGTAAACTGCATTATTGCACTCATTCCAAACACCCACACCGGGACGTTTCTGCTGCGAACGTCACTTTTGGGTCACTAAATGTTTGGGTATAACCCATCATTAGTTTGAACCAGTAACCTGATACTGAGCCATGCCTGAATATTTGGTGAATCAAAAGCGGTGTTTGCAGCAGGGACACAATGTGTGAGTGTCAGGAGGGAATATAGTGATATTGTTACCTCATTGGTTACGCAAGTTTTCGAATGGGAAATTCATTTTGATGTATTTTTTCTTTTCTTCTAAGTTGTGCTTACCTTCTTCTGCTCCTCTGGGTACTTGCTCTCAAGATAGCGGATAATTGCCCTTAGTCTAGCCGCAGGCTCAGCCCAAAAGCTGTAATCACTTGCTACTGCACTGTCCAGACATGTCCTGTTGTCCTGGTAGAATGAACAATGGTCAATCAACAAGAAAGTAAAACAGACCTCTTAGTAAACATTGCACATAGCTTTGTAAACCAGAACAGCAGTTGATTTTGAATACTTTGCAGATTCAAGAAACTAATAGTAGTAGTAGTAGTAGAATTTATTATTTTACTAGGGAACTCCCAACAGGCGTTGCCTTTTTACTGGGAACCCTAGGAATGACTTGGTGCTTGTGACAAATGCAGAAAGGGGCTTAGCTTGACGACATCCAGGTGGAAGCATGTTCCATCTGTCTGCTGCCAAAAATGAAATAGCATTCAGGCCGTAACGAGACGTAGCTCTGGGTAGGTTCAGAGCGGCTGAAGCTTGACCGCGGGTAGCAGCATTAATGACTTTTCTAATGCTCGTTCTGAGAATTATCACAACTCCCATTAACCCTTTGAGAGCCGCCCCATACTTGAATGTGTAGAATTATACACACACGACGTTGAGACTTCAACAAGCCGTAACCATGGTAACTCGGTCAAAACTAGCTCAAATTTAACGATCCAACTATCTATGCCGAAGAGAAAACTCGCGTGCCGTAGAACCCATCCAGGAAGCGCTGCGATCAACGGTTCCTGAGATTTCAACACATAATAGCGGAGCCAAACTATGTCTCGTGATCCGAAAATTGTACAATATATTTAAGAGAGCATGTCTGAGAAAACCAGAACATATGTGCAAGTTGATCTCTCAGATTTCGCTCAAATTTTGCAGGTAGGTTTGCTTTGGGATGTAGATCGACATTCCAAAGCCCGCGGAAAATCTTTGAAGGGAACCATGACATTGGCATACCCCTCAATATTGGCCCAATATTGGCACGATTTATGGGTCTACAAACGAGCCACGGCACAGCGCACAAGAACGAGCTACGAACAAAACTCCATCAAGCCAACATTATCTCACCTTAGAAGAGTTCTTGGGGCAGCACCACTTAGCCACGCCAGCATCCGAGAAGACGAGGGCAATCATCCCTTGACGCCACAAATGATCGTCCTCAAAATAGCCAAATTACAAGCACTGATAAAACTGCGAGCTACGTCCTCAATTAGCAAACACTATACACCGGCAGATAGTAGAACACCTCTTCTAGCACTGAGGACATGTCCCCCATCATCCTTTTTGGGTTTTCTTGAAATAAACAATTTTGAATTTTTCCACTCGACCATTCTGAAATACGTCCAAACTCATACCTGCGTAGGAAAGCTCGCCCCTCCGCGACGTCTAGTCAGCAATTTCTACTCCAACACCACTCCCAACGCTGCAGAACAAAGTGTATTGTTGACTCTGACAAGGAAAAGCAGCGGTGATCACTTGTCACTCCAAACGACAAGCTTCTCCTTGCGCCACCAACATTTTTCGGTGCAACAGTTGATGCAAAAGTGACTGAATTTTGGCGTGTAGTTTTTGGATTTTACTGCAAGAGGAATGATGAAATCACGTGCTTCGTGACACAAGAATGCCAGGTCTCGAAGATCACGGTTCAGCAGTTGTTCCGAGTCGCCTTGATCAAGCGCATCTGCACTTACATGGATCACCCATTGATCTAGATTGGATGAGCGAGGTTAGTGTGAAAAAATGCATCCCTGTTCTTACTGCAAGAGGAAATATCTCAAAGAATTCTTGCCAATGCAATACTGCCAGTGCTATAACGATAGTGTCTGAATGTTCTGAGCAGAGCATGCAAGAAATATAATGCATCTTACCTCCTCCCTCATGGTCCGTTTCGAAAAGCTCCTCGGGAACGATCGTGATCATGTGCATTGTGTCGTGCACCAGAAAGCATTATCCTACGTCACGATGCACGTGATTTCTTCATTCCTCTTGCAGTAAAATCCACAAACTACACGCAAAATTCAGTCACTTTTGCATCAACTGGTGCACCGAAAAATGTTGGTGGCGCAAGGAGAATCTTGTCGTTTGGAGTGACAAGTGATCACCGCTGCTTTTCCTTGTCAGAGTCAACAATACACTTTGTTCTGCAGCGTTGGGTTGTGTTAGAGTAGAAATTGCTGACTAGACGTCGCGGATGGGCGAGCTTTCCTGCGCAGGTATGAGCCGTATTTCAGAATGGTCGAGTGGAAAAATTCAAAATTGTTTATTTCAAGAAAACCCAAAAAGGATGATGGGGGACATGTCCTCAGTGCTAGAAGAGGTGTTCTACTATCTGCCGGTGTATAGTGTTTGCTAATTGAGGTCGTAGCTCGCAGTTTTATCAGCGCTTGTAATTGGGCTATTTTGAAGACGATCATTTGTGGCGTCAAGAGATGATTGCCCTCGTCTTCTGGGATGCTGGCGTGGCTAAGTGGTGCTGCGGCCCCAAGAACTCTTCTAAGGTGAGGTAATGTTGAATTGATGGAGTTTTGTTCGTAGCTTGTTCGTGTACGCTGTGGCGTAGCTCGTTTGTAGACCCATAAATCGTGCCAATATTGGGCCAATGTTGAGGGGTATGCCAATTTCATGGTTCCCTTCAAAAGATGTTGTGCGGGCTTTGGAATGTCGATATACACCCCAAAGCAAACCTACCTACAAAATTTGAGCGAAATCTGAGAGATCGACTTGCATTATGTTCTGGTTTTCTCAGACATGCTCTCTTAATGCATACTTCAAGTATGGCATTGGACAGAGAAAATAACGTAATTCGTCATTGGTTGATTCGCGTTGTTGAGTTGTAGTCAGACCGGCTTGTCCAATGGTCTTACCAATCTCCTTATCAAGTTGTAGCTTTCGACGTTCTTTGCTCCCGTGGGATATACCTTGAGCACATCTTTGTTGCGTTTCCTTCCCCTCATTGGACCTTCCAAGTGATATAAGAAGGTTGGTATTTTTCAATTCGTAGATTCGTTGGAGCTAGTTGTCAGGTCGTTCAATGTCTCAGTACCTCAGTCAGTTTAGCATCTTGTTGTCGCCCTACCTGACTGTTTATGTAGTATCCCTGCCTTGCTTGATTGTAGCTGACTATTGTAGTATCCCTGCCTTGCTTGATTGTAACTGACTACTGTAGTATCCCTGCCTTGCTTGATTGTAGCTATTGCAGTATCCCTGCCTTGCTTGATTGTAGCTGACTATTGCAGTATCCCTGCCTTGCTTGATTGTAGCTGACTACTGTAGTATCCCTGCCTTGCTTGATTGTAGCTGACTATTGCAGTATCCCTGCCTTGCTTGATTGTACCTGACTACTGTAGTATCCCTGCCTTGCTTGATTGTAGCTGACTATTGCAGTATCCCTGCCTTGCTTGATTGTAGCTGACTATTGTAGTATCCCTGCCTTGCTTGATTGTAACTGACTATTGTAGTATCCCTGCCTTGCTTGATTGTAGCTGACTATTGCAGTATCCCTGCCTTGCTTGATTGTAACTGACTATTGTAGTATCCCTGCCTTGCTTGATTGTAGCTGACTATTGTAGTATCCCTGCCTTGCTTGATTGTAGCTGACTATTGCAGTATCCCTGCCTTGCTTGATTGTAACTGACTATTGTAGTATCCCTGCCTTGCTTGATTGTAACTGACTATTGTAGTATCCCTGCCTTGCTTGATTGTAGCTGACTATTGCAGTATCCCTGCCTTGCTTGATTGTAGCTGACTATTGTAGTATCCCTGCCTTGCTTGATTGTAGCTGACGTTTGTAGTATCCCTGCCTTGCTTGATTGTAGCTGACTATTGCAGTATCCCTGCCTTGCTTGATTGTAGCTGACTACTGTAGTATCCCTGCCTTGCTTGATTGTAGCTGACTATTGCAGTATCCCTGCCTTGCTTGATTGTAGCTGACCACTGTATTATCCCTGCCTTGCTTGATTGTAACTGACTACTGTAGTATCCCTGCCTTGCTTAATTGTAGCTGACTATTGTAGTATCCCTGCCTTGCTTGATTGTAGCTGACCACTGTATTATCCCTGCCTTGCTTGATTGTAACTGACTATTGCAGTATCCCTGCCTTGCTTGATTGTAGCTGACTATTGTAGTATCCCTCCCTTGCTTGATTGTAGCTGACTTTTGCAGTATCCCTGCCTTGCTTGATTGTAACTGACTATTGTAGTATCCCTGCCTTGCTTGATTGTAGCTGACTATTGCAGTATCCCTGCCTTGCTTGATTGTAACTGACTATTGTAGTATCCCTGCCTTGCTTGATTGTAGCTGACAATTGTAGTATCCCTGCCTTGCTTGATTGTAGCTGACTATTGTAGTATCCCTGCCTTCCTTGATTGTAACTGACTATTGTAGTATCCCTGCCTTGCTTGATTGTAGCTGACTATTGCAGTATCCCTGCCTTGCTTGATTGTAGCTGACTATTGTAGTATCCCTGCCTTGCTTGATTGTAGCTGACTATTGCAGTATCCCTGCCTTGCTTGATTGTAACTGACTATTGTAGTATCCCTGCCTTGCTTGATTGTACCTGACTATTGTAATATCCCTGCCTTGCTTGATTGTAGCTGACTATTGTAGTATCCCTGCCTTCCTTGATTGTAGCTGACTATTGTAGTATCCCTGCCTTGCTTGATTGTAGCTGACTATTGTAGTATCCCTGCCTTGCTTGATTGTAACTGACTATTGCAGTATCCCTGCCTTGCTTGATTGTAACTGACTACTGTAGTATCCCTGCCTTGCTTGATTGTAACTGACTATTGCAGTATCCCTGCCTTGCTTGATTGTAGCTGACTATTGTAGTATCCCTGCCTTGCTTGATTGTAGCTGACTATTGCAGTATCCCTGCCTTGCTTGATTGTAACTGACTATTGTAGTATCCCTGCCTTGCTTGATTGTAGCTGACTATTGTAGTATCCCTGCCTTGCTTGATTGTAGCTATTGCAGTATCCCTGCCTTGCTTGATTGTAGCTGACTATTGCAGTATCCCTGCCTTGCTTGATTGTAACTGACTATTGTAGTATCCCTGCCTTGCTTGATCGTAGCTGACTACTGTAGTATCCCTGCCTTGCTTGATTGTAGCTGACTATTGCAGTATCCCTGCCTTGCTT